TTCAGAAACTGCTGGTTGCTTTTCTTTAAGTATGTGGTTTTCCAAGCCCTCCCTTGAGAGACTTTCTCTCCATTAATTAACCTGATGCTCAAAAAGACGGAATTGTCTTTTTACTGCACACTATGAAATGTTAGCATTATCTCTGTTCTATGCTTTAATAGTAACTTGTTTTACAAAGTATGATTTGTATCACACACAAGTATTTCATACATTCACATACATACAACACCACCTCTCCCACAAAGAAAGGCTGAGAGAGATGAGGTTGTTCAGTCTGGAGAAGGGAAGGTACTGGGAAAACCTTATTGTAGCCTTCCAGTACCTAAAGGGCACTTAGAAAGGCTTTTACCAAGGCCTGTAGTGCCAGGACAAAGGTCAATGGTTTCATACTGAGACAGTGTAGAATTAGATTGGATATAAGGAAGACATTTTTTACAGTGAGGATCATGAGGCACTGGAACAGGTTACCCAGAGAAGTTGTGGATGTCTCATCACTGGAAGTGTTGCAAGTCAGGCTGGATGGAGCTTTGAGCAATCTGGTCTATTGAATGGCAGAGGAATTGACTCAGTGATTTTCAAGGTCCCTTTTAACCCAAACTATTATCTGATTCTATGATTTCAAGGTTGTAAACAAAATAAAAGCAGTATAAATAAAATACTGTAGTAGCTCACATATCTAGGTAAAATTATATGTGGGTCATGCAGCACCTTGCATTCACTTAACCCAATGGTTTGAAAGTCAAGGAATGAGAAAAATAAAACCTTATTTTATGAGGCATAAAGTTAAGCTGTCCATCTTCTAGATGATGCTGCAACAAAGCAAACTACTGCTGTGCACATAGGAAAGCAACTTGAAGAAACAGAAAACAGGCAATGTAAAGCAATGCTGCCAATAAGAATCTCTTTGTCCAGTTCTCCAGTTTTCAGATATTCAGTTAGTAACTTGAGTATTTCATTAAATTACAACTTATTTTTAACCTTTCTGGCTTTTTTTCCTAAAGAAATGAATGAGCAGGCAGAATCCGAATCTGTAAACTATCAAAGATGACATGCTACAATATTGACAAGATACTTGAATAATTTAAATACTCTAAAGCTGAAGAGACTGCCATGAATATCACAAAATCAAGCGAGTTGGAAAAGACCTCTGAGATCATCCAGTCCAACCTATGACCAAACACTACCATGTCAGCTAGACCATGGCACTGAGTGCCACGTCCAGTCTTTCCTTAAACACCTCAGGGACAATGACTCCACCAGCTCCCTGGGCAGCCCACTCCAATGTTCAATCACCCTTTCTGTGAAGAAATTCCTCCTAATATTCAACCTAAACCTCCTCTGGCACACCTTGAGGCTATGGTCTCTCACCCTATCTCTAGTTGCCTGGGAGAAGAGGCTGACCCCACTTGACTACAGCCTCCTTTCAGGTAGTTGTAGAGAGTGATAAGGTCTCCCCCAGGCCTCCTTTTCTCCAGGCTAAACAACCCCAGCTCCCTCAGCTGCCCTTCATAGGACTTAATCTTTAGACACGCAACAAACCTACCCTTTCCTGGACTCACTCCAGCATCTTAATGTCCTTCCTGAATTGAGGGGCCCAGAACTGGACAGTATTCGAAGTGCATATCAATGAGCCTATAACTTTACTGGACTGGAAAATCTGACCTCAGAATAACAATTGTATTACAAACTACCTGCAGCATGAAATAGAAGAGATTTCTATTCACAGAGGAAAGCATAATACTGCATAAGCATCAAAATGTTATCTCTGCTTCCTTTTTTTCATATCTTTCTATGTTTTAATCTCTCCTCCTTCCAACTTCCAGACATATTGCATAGTAAAATGATGTACCATATGGGATGAAGGGACGGTCACTTGGTGGATGCAGTAGAAAATATTTCTCTCCAGATACCACACAGTACAAGTTCTCATAATGATCTTTATGTACTAGGATTGGGAAAAAAAAATGTGGAGAAAGAGAGAAAATCAGTGCTATTTCCTTCTCTGCACCAGAAACTATAGTCAACTGAAAATACCAGCTTGTCCTATTATCATCAGGCTGCTTTCTCCTCTTGTAGCCAGTGGGAGAGGAATGTAACAACATCATGTTGTAGCAAAAGCACTGAATGAAATAAATTGTCAGTGCCTTGCCTGACACAATGCTAAGTAGATGCACCCAGAGACACAGTAGCAAGAGGCCACAGAAGAGTAGAAGGAAGAATGCAAAAAAAAGCATGCTAAAATAGAACTGCCTTGTCAGAAAAACCACACAATCCTCCTGAGCCCCTAACTCAAAACAAGCCCTCTTAAACCTATGCTGAAAGCACGCAGAAGACTTACAGCACCAGAAGGTACGTACAAGATGTCACAGCTGCTGATTCCCCAAGCCAGAAATTCACAGCATCAGGCTTCTTCCCTGTATGAATACAGAAATGCTGTCAACAACAAAGAATATATGTCATGTTTAAAAGTGTTTCAAATAATTTTTTGCCAATTTCTGCCAAATTCTGTCCTGTAACTTCCTTCGTAACTATGACAGGTTTCATTGCAAATAGCATTCTGTGAACAACAGAAATCTCCTTCTACACTGGGAGCACTGAGCCAAAAGATGACTCCAGATCAGAGAAAAGCCACTTGATGTAAAGAAGTGCTACGTGGCACTATCACCACAATTTTTTTCAGTTGTGAGGGTCCCAGTGCACAACCAAGACATCGATTGCAAAGTAATCCAACACCAAAACTTGGATTATTTTATTAGGTATTCTACCACTTCTGCTTTCTAAGAGTATGAAACCAAACTGAGCTGTGGCATTCAGAAAGAGAACAAGAATTAAGCAGCGATTGTTTCACCCAGTGTGATTGTTTCAAAGCTCCATGCAAAACATTTACTGAATACAGGAGAAATAGAGTTTACCAAGTGCCTCAGTCATCCATGGTATGTCAGGCTGCACATCATTGACAAGTTCAGGGAACTCCTTGGTGAGGTTTGAACACTGCTTCTGCACATAGAATACACTGGAAGAGGTCACTTTCTTCTCCACAATGTCCAAAAAGTCCATGAAAGGCATTTGGCGCTCCTCTGGCATGACAAAACGGTCCTGAAACACTGCATCTGCATAACCATTGGGTGTTACTGCCACACTCACTACCTTGGGACCTACTACCTCCCTGCAAAATAAATCAAAGGTTTATAGCCCGCCCTGCAATTGACCCATATATTAGATACTGGTTACTTCAAAAACAACATGTTTCATGGGCAGCAAAAATAAGAGGGCTGTCTTTCCATGGATGAGTGTCTCTAGATTACATTTTCTACTGTCCGGTAAGGACTCTCGCATTCTGCTCCAACTGCTCCCGTCTGAATTCTCTCCTAACAGGCAAGTTCAAAAAGGAGCTCTGTTTTCCTCCCTGGAGGTAGAGGGCCCTCTTCAGCTGCTTCTTTTCATGACTCATGACTGAGCTTGATATTCTTTTGACCACTCAATGCAGCCAAATCCAAGGGTTCAAGGGTTCACACATTCAAAAGCAATCGACCAGGGAGAAGGGGTGGACAGAAACTGATAGATACACATATCATGAAGTTAATAGCCCTTAGTTCCATAGGAAATTTAGCTTTAAAACCTACACATTTAGATCTAACCCACAGATTTTAAGTCTAATCATAAATTCCCTCATAAAGGAGGACTTTTCTTTAAAAATTCATTCATTGTTAAAATGCTCGTTGTTTGGTTTTTTTGACTAAAAGTTTGTTCAATCATGAACCAGTCAGTCTGTCCTTACACTGCTACAGCCACACTCCAGCAAGCCAGGTTTCAATAGTCTAAGCCTGTTGGCTGCACACAGCCAAAACACCAACCCACCTGGCTGCCTCAGAACTGGTAGAGCAGTAGGTTTGCAAGGAATAAATTTGCACCTGATCTTAGAAAGATTGAACACCTTCATACAGAAGCAGGGAGGAATCTGAGCTAATCTTGCAAATGAAAGCAAAGATTAACCAAGGGTTTTTTAGTGAGGTCAGCCAAAATTGATAACCGGTCCTGCTCCAAAGCTTGTTCATACCTGAGGTACGCTGAGGTCCATTTCTTCAGAGCTGGCCAGTGGCTGATGGCATTGCGAATTATACAAGGTTTATTTGGACTCACCCACTCTCGATAAAACTCCAGTGGGGATGGAGGCATATCAAGATAGGGTACAGACTCCGGCCACCCCAGCTCTGTCCAGGTAAACGACAAACAGTGTTACTCAGCATCCCGGAGAATTGCCTCCTGCCACCACACTGCTTCAAATCCCACACCACAGGCGCCCGACTGAAAGCAAGCGGTGTACCCCCACTGGATCCTGAAATTCTCTGTTAAAACCCAGGGGGCGTTGGGGGGTTTCAGAGCCAGATGGAAAACTCAGGCCGTCGCCCATGGGGATGAAAGGCATATGTTACAGGAGGTACAACTCCCACACAGAGGTGATACCACAGGATCGTTTTTGGGAAGCTGGAGTAGTGCTTTGATTTGCTATTTTATACAAAGGAACACAACCCAAAAAGGCCGTTTTCTTGAGTTTCGGTTGTTGTGGTTTTTTTACTCTGCGGCCTTTCTGCTGCAGAAAAGCAGAAAGCCTTTCTGCTTCACGCCGAAAACATGAAGCTGACAGCACAGTGTCCGCCCCAGTTCACGCCCCGCTTTGCTCCCCACGGGCGGGCGGGCCGTGCCCCCGGAGCGCGGCGGAGCCAGCCCGGCACCAGCGCCCGTCACAGGCGGGACCACCCGCGGCCTCCCAGCCCGCCCCGCCCCCGCCCCCGCCCCGCCCCGCCGGCCGGCGCTCACCGCGGGCCTCCCGCCGGGAAAGCGGCCAGGCAGCCCCGCACGGCCCGCAACCCCGCGCCCTCCGCCATGCCCGGCCCGGCCCCGGAGGAGGAGGGGCCGCCGGCTCCCTCCCTCCTTCCCGCTCCCATTTCTCCCCGCCCCTTCCCCCGGAAAACGAACCTCGGCCGAGTGGGTCGCGCAGCTCGGTAACAAATGGTCACGTGTTTATTTGAAACAGTTTAAGACACGGAGTACAAATGAATACAGAGTTAAAAACTGCTCCCGGGGGAGCCTCACAGTGCAAGAAAAGAAAAAAAAAAAAACAAAACAAAACCAAAAACAAACAAAGCAAAACCAAAAACAAAATAACCCAACAAACGAATTTTTACTTTTTCCAAATAATAATAATAATAAAAAAGTACTTTACCTAAAGCCAAAAGTATAAAAACACACATTTATAAATAAAGCATGAGGGAACTTTTGTTTGTTTGTTTGTCTTGGTTTTTTACAGGGGTGAAGGACAAGGGCAGTGTCGGAGAACACAGGTGAGGAGGTGCCTGCCTGGTGCGAGGCGCACGCAAGGGCACAGGGGGTTCACATGGCTTGTTCCTTACGCTACTGCCCCACACGGCTTCCGCCGCGCCGCGCAGCAGGTTACACACACCAACACAGCTCCAGCCCCCCCGCTTACTCGCACACACGATCTGAAACACGGGACGCGGGACTTACCCAGAGAAGGAAGCACCTCTTCTCTCCGGGGTTGCTAGAAGACCTGTCTACCATTTTAATGAGGTTTCTTGTCATTTAGTATCCTGGATGCTACACATCCAGAGGGGTGGAGGTGGGGGGAGACACTGTATACATGCATGAATTTACCAAGGGCGTTTAAATACCTGCATTTCATTTTTTTTCTTATATATATTTATATACATATTCGTTCTTTTTAAAAAATTTAATTGGTATGTTTCTACTCCCAGAAAGAAACATCCAAATCCCTCTGAGTCATGATGAAGTCTGCAAAACGGGGGACTGGGGAGGGGGCTGCTGTAAAGCCTTGGCCCAGTTATCACGTGGGAGGCTGCATGGAAAGGAGAGGACAACCTGAGAGAGGAGGTGGAAGAAATGCAGACTCCCATACCCACAGCTCCTGGGTGCAATTGGGGTATGGGGAGGAGGGTGTGACAAGCCTGCAGCATGAAACAGAGAGTTTGCTGCTCTATCAGGTTGCAGCCCTTCCTACTGTCCCAGTTCAAGAGAGCCCTAGAATGAACTGAGGGGTCTCACGGGTAAAGCAGTACTATTTCTAAGATGGAAAAACCTCCCCTACAACTTCTCATTTTGACCAGGAATGTTAGGTTGGAGGGGGAAAAAATGTATGCAAAGAGGATAGGTAAGTCCAAATTATTTTTAAAGGCTTTATGTTAAACAAATAACTTGTCTTAACACAGGTATCTTGTGTCTGTGCTAATACCCACACAAATCAGTAAGAGGGTCATAAACCATTAAGAAGGATAGACTCATATTTATTAGCTCCTCTGACAAGCCTCTTCGCTTCCCATGCAGTTACCATTCAGTATTTCTCTACCTGACCCAATGGACAGCCTGTGATGAAACATACTCACAAGGTGCAACAAAATGTAACACATTTACACCCTCTCTGTTCTGTAAACTAGAATGTTTAGGAATATTTCCTACTGCCAGCAATAGGAAGTTCATAGGGAAGAATCAGTTGGATCAGTGTCAAATTATAAAGAGCAACACTGCTTCCTCATCCCTCTCAGCAACAAACTCATGGCACCAGCATCTCCTTTACTGGGCTTCTACTACTCAATTCATAACACCAAAGCCTTAAACAAACAGGTCATGACTTTGCCATTTGAGAAAAGAGCAGTTGCTTAGGGAACAGCAAGAGAAGAAACAAGAGGCCCAATAGGACATATTTAAAAACAAACCCCTTCCAATTCATTCTTCAATTACAGACCATCATCTCCAAGTCCTAAATCTACTTTCCTAAAGCTTTTCAGTACTCTGCCTTTCATGGGTATTGGCCAAATGGTGTTCTTCAGGCCAAAACTACCTCTACTTCTACTCTGTTTTCCCGAGTCTCCTACATATACTTCTCTAAATTTATTTTAAACTACACAACTATTCTCCAGCTCATCTACTTGCCTGACACTTCTCTTACCATCATTCTGATCAGATTTTACCTCTGGTTTCCTGTATACAGCCACGACCCTGAGCAAAATCCATTCCCGGGAACAAAACCCACTGTGATCAGCTTAGAAGCTAGATTTGTTTCACATGACTCATTTCCAAGGAGCTTTGTTCTATATCTCTATGCCAGCTTTACTAGTTGTTGCTCTTTATCTTAATGGGAATTTCATTCTCACCACTGGCTCTTCTGTACCATCTCTGACTTTTTTGTCACTACCTCAAAGTTTAAATAATAAAATGGAATAAAATTGCACAAGGAAGTCATATAAAGAACCCTCAAACCGTTATCAACAGTACCAAAAGATACTTGGATTGAAGGGACTGCTATTTTTCCTGAGTGTCTTATTGCCCCAGTACATCAAGAAATTTCCTGTATACTAAGACATATGTTCACAGTCTGAAAGTGGAGGAACTGGTCACCTCAAAAGCAAGCTTGATCCACACTAACTCCCATCACAGACCCAATATGACTGTCATCATACATTCCACTTGCGGCCTCTCCAGCAGACCTTTTCACTCAAAGAAACCGCCAGATATTTCCTCTCTGGTTTTCAACTTGCCTTCCTTCGCAAAACCTGTCTGTGCAAGAGAAGCTGCCCATGGGACCAAGCACACCAGCTGATTCAGCACAGTGCAGTGCAGAGACAGAACTAGAAAATTTTAAAGTTTCAGTATGAGCCCATGGAAGGAAGGTTAGCAAGGACACCTGAAACATGATTAGGCAGATTTAAATTACAGGCAGAAGTAGCTGGAAAGCTCTCAAAGTGTTCCCCATAGTCCCATGTCCTGAAGTGCTCAGCAGTGGTGATAAGGCAGCAAACCTATTAGGGGGAGAGAGAGAACTGCAGATTATTCAGCCCTAGAGTTATTTGGAAGAAATAGGTCATCCTACAATAGTCTAGTCAGCCCAGTAGAAAAAAGGTTGCACTGCAGATGTGCAGTCACAGACAGAGAAGTCAACAGACCACATCTCCAAGTGCCACAGGGCTTCAGAGAAACAAAGCCAGGACAGTAAAATGAAAGAAAATTTTTCCAACCTATGTAACCAAGTGATGTAGTCTAGCTGCCTTTGCCTGACTTCCACAGATGATGGTAGTCTCTCTCTCACCAAAGGCTTGTTCCTTGCATTAGTTTTATAAACTAGGATTACACTGCTCTGCCTTAAAATAAATGCAAGACAGACAGCAGATGAAAGAAATAAAACATTTTGTGTATCTGCCCTTGTTTTTGAAAGGAGTGGGAGTAAGGGGGAAGGTGCTGAAGAATTTCATTGGTTTGAAATTTTTTTTTTCTTAGCTTATTATTGACCTGAAAACATCACTGGACAGTTTTAAGCCACAACAAACACAAGTTAGCATGGGCTTAGAGAAGCTCCACAGGGCAAGAAGAATATTGCACATACAAATGCAAGAAGACAAGATTTTCTGTTTCTCAGATCAGAAGTTCATGAAAAGCAAAGAGGCTGGAGGTAGGGGTAATGGTAGTAATCACACCCCAAAATATCTTGTTTGAAGTTCTTGGGAAATCATTTTCCGTGGGGAGTTGAAATAGCTTTACAAAAGGTAAAAGAATCCCAACTTTCTTGAGATGTGAATATTCTGTTTTCCTGTAAAGGCAAGAAGAAAACATCTTCCTATCACACTGAAACAAATTACATTGATGAGTCATGACACTGAAGATCTCTCAGATCCAGAGTTACACTGCAAGAGATGGAAACAAGTTTTTCTGTGTCACTTCTCAACAAATTAATCATCACCCCAAATTTCCGAGTCATGACAACATCAAAGTCAATACCCAATTCCTAATTACGAAAAGTGGCTGAAACAGGCTTTTGTATTGTATCTAAATCTCATTTTTAAAATATCTGCAGAAAACCTGGTCTGAAGTATCAATATAACATCAAACTCTGGATAAAAAATACCACTAGGAATTCATAAAGTAATCTCCAAAGCATGGTCCAAGGGATGCAGAGCATTCCCCGGGAAGTGAATGCAGATAAAATACAGTGTGGGGTCTGTCTTGAAACACAAGAAAAGCAGACAGAGTCATCAAACAACAGCAGGATTACTGCAGGTAACAAAACTAAGGCAGGAAAAGAAAGAAGAGCAAGACAAGATTTAAGCAGAGAACAGTTCATTAATTGCACAGACACTCCAGCCTGTCTCCCTGTTGGAGGTTTATAATACAGAGATTGTTTCTCGCTGGGATATGGCAAAGGGATTGACAGTTCTTTTAAAAGACAAAGATAACAGCCACAAACATGGCACAGAGGAACAGTCAGAGAAATAAATTAATAAATAAACCCAGAAAAAGTCTGCTTCTTGATTCTCCTGAAGCCTTGGAGAGGAAAGGATTGGCTTCACTTGGACTCCTTTGATTTTAGTCAGCAGTTCAGAATTTCTTGGATAAACTGGAATTTCTTTGTTTTTTTTTAAGTGCCAAACATCCTGACTGGCTATGAAGAAACTTCAAGGCAATTTCTCCAAACTCCTCTTTCAAGACTTCGTTTAGAGACAGGAAGTTGAAGAAAAATATTAAAACTGTGGCCAGCACATTGTTAAGAATTGGAGCAAGTCTGTTGTAGGAGCCTGAGGAAATTCATTTACAACGGTGTCCCCATCAGCCCTAGACCAGCGTGATGATAGCATTGGTCTGAAGCTCTCTCTGTGGTCCTCTTCTTGGGATTATTTCTGTGTACACACAAACACCTGAAAGCCACCCATTCTAGAGCTTTTTGTCCATGCGTCGTTCCACAGCTTGTAGCAATAGCTCCGAGTACTGTTCCAGCAAAGCTAGTGTCTGCTCATCTCCCAAACCCTTGGGACTCGGTAGATTGGCACCGCACCCCTCATTCAACGGGTTAGTGTTATCTTGTGGCTTTGCCAGTACCTCCTCAACCTTTGGAAGCTCTTCCTCATCCTTCAGAGAGTCCAGTTCTTTCTTCATTGAGGAGAATGTTTCTGTCAGGAGGCCTGCTATTTTATCTTTGTCAGTAGAAGATTCTGTATTGTTTAACACCTGAAAACAAAAAGGGGTGAGGGGAAAAAAAAAATGCATTTGGGTTTAGGTACAGCACCAAGTAAGCAGTTTCAGCCTTTTAAGGAGATGAAGCCATGAAGATTTGCAGACTGATCTAGTGTCCTTTTCTTCAACGTTCAAGACTGCCTATTTAGTCATGGGCAGGGCATGCATCTAATACTGCACAAAATCCAGAGGCATTATTCCAACAGGACAGAGATGGGAAGTACATTTTTGGGTAGAGTTCCCCTTATACTGGGCTTAAGGAGGTGCTATGTTTCCCAGCTGCAGCACAGGCCCACAGTCTGCTTTCCCTCCTGTCTGCCAGATGCAGCTGGTCACAGGAACGGAGCAAGGTCAGAGTGCTGTGGCCAGAGCTGCAGAGGACCACATGGCAGATCCTCACCGCAAGTTTCACACTCATTACAGGAGACCTGAGAGATCAGTGCTAAGCAAAGAAATGAGGAGCTGTTACATCGTTCTGCATGTAACTCTGGTCTGGCAGCGAGGGGGACAGGAGAATGGTTGCATGCTCCCTTTCACAGCTGGATTCCCATGCTATCTCACATTTGCTAATCCTTTTCCCATGCAATCAAACACAAAGAACAGATGGGAATAATAAAACTTAAAGCTCCTATATTTCATATCCCAAAAGCACTGTATAAATATTAACTAATTCCCTAATCCCCTTTGAAAAAGAGCATATTGTTATCTTCAGTTTACAGATAGGTTAAACAGACTGAAAAGTTAATTGATTTGCTCAGAGTACCATAACAAACTATTGGTAAATCCAAAAGCTGGAAATCGGGAGCTCCTGCCTCTCTGGTTCAAGCTTAAGGTGCAGTCAAGCTTAAGGTGCAGTCAAGCGGACAACCAGGCAGCTTGTGAGCTCTCCTGTCAGGAGAACACCTTGAGCCAGCAAGCACACACGTTCAGTGTTTGTGGGCTGCGAAGCCAACCTGCTGTGACAGAGCCCACGTCTCACGTCACTCACCATCCGGTAAAGGTGAATGGCCCTGCGCATGCTGTCCTGGAGCTCAGATACCACGTGCTTACACTGCTCTATGCTGATGCCCGATTCTGAATGGAAGGGAAAAACAAAAACATGAGTTAAGGCATAGACACTCCACTATCCACAATCTCACAGTTGGGTAAGAAAACAGGGTTCTTTACACACATTTGAAAGATCATGTGCACACTCCTCGTTCAATTTTTAGGGCTGGTTTGAGCAAATCATTAAATAGGCAAGTTCTACATGAACTTTCCTTCATACTACCTAGAGATGCTGCTTGTTTCAAACATCCCTTTTTTTTCCAATCTCTAGACTCTCCAAAGTCAGCAATGTTTTTTCTCAGGTTGCACATTTTTGTCACAGTCAAGGATAGCCACAGATTACCCATTTTCAATTATAATTAAAGTCAAGTTTGTGTTAAGGCTTCCAGTGGCAATAGGGACTGATCTGAGTAGCCCTTAATTTAGCTTCCACGTAGTCAGAAATTTACAATCTTCCCCTCAAGTATCCTTCTGCACAGTGTACGGCTAAATGTTGAGGATGATAGATTATACTGAATTATTACACTGTTCTCTAGTGAGGACTGTGGTCCAGAGGAGTGCTGACAAACAAACTCCATCACAACAGAATCACATTTCTGAGCAATTCAGGACATACACAGCTGATACACTGTAATTCAAAACTGAGAAAAGAAAGTAAGCAACTGAAGGACAGTATCTTCTGCCTGTCCCCACCAGATATTATCTCCAAAGCATCGGAGTCAAAGGCCTGCAATTTTTGATAAAATAAACACTTCCATGAGTCAGACATAAACCATGAACATAGACACACACACACAGTCTGCAGTTATCTTCAATTTGCAAAGGCCTGGACACATTAGCACTATAATTTCTCCACTTCTAAGAACATCATCTTTGAACATGCTGGAGGGGATCTGAGCTAACTTTATGAATATATCTAGATGATGTTAAAACAAATACAGTTAGAAAAACATCTATTTATACATTAAAAAACACATCTAGAAGAACAAGGGGGCATGAACAAATCCTTCCATCTGCATGTTTTGATCCCAAATCACCAATGGAGGTTGAGCACAGTGGGCTTCAGTGCAGTCCAAGATTCTTGCCTTCTGCCCCTCCCTTCCCTCTTTATGTTTGAAACTCAGCTGTTTCTTCTCATGATTGTTTCTGGATTTGTCCTCTGATTATTCTTTTTATTCTGGTCTCCATCTCTAGGAGCTGCAAGTCTGGAGAAAGGTCACCAAACCTAATAGAAATGCTTAAGTAACAGGCATTTTCTGCCTCTTGGGTGTGCAGTACAGAGCTCTTCAGAAACCAGTACAGAATATTAAACACAGCAACAGTATTAAGCACATCTACAGCGTTTTAACTGTACATGTCAAAATGCTTTCACAAGAACAGTTAAGTCTCTTTATCTGCAGCTGTTACACAAGAAGGAAAATGGAAGGACAGAAAAATTAAGTGGAAACCCAAAGTCACAGAGCAAGTCAAAAGCAGAACAGGTTCTCTGTCAGCCCTACAGTTTTAATCTAAACTGCCACACCGTGATTCACATAAGCCACAGTAAGTTGTTCACAGCAACAACCAACTTGGATCTAAACAGTTTTTCCAGCATCTACCACTAAAGTTTTGGGAAATGTGGTCTGCAAGAACCTTAAGGCAGACAGCTGTCTACTGAGAAAAAAAATAATATTGGGGATCCACAGTGCTAAATCATCCTAACTCACTAAAGAATACTGTTAAATATTCTGCCAGGGTATGCTATGTCTTGGGAGCTGTTTAAAAAAATAAATCAATACTAAAAAAAAACCTTGCTGTTTCTCTGCACTATCTGTGCTAATTCGGCAAACTGACCAAGACCCATTTTATATGTTGCCTGATTTCCAAATCTAGAAGAGAAACCTCTGCCTAAAGAGTATGTACTATTACAACTCTGCTGTAGAATGTGATTCCACAAATTCAGGCTGCATCTGCTGCTGGAGGAAAGTTCACCCCTGTGGGGGGAAGGTCTGAAAGTTTCAGACGTACTCACTGTCCTTTAGAGCAGTTATAGTATGAGAGCAGCAGGTCCCTCAGACAAAACACTTCCTGTTTTACATAACAGTGCTTCAATCTTAGGGTGTTTGATCCCTCTAGAAATGCAGAAAAAAATAACAGTGCATCAAAACCAGATTATCCTTCCACATTCCTTCAGTTCAGAAATATTGTGCTTAACTATTGTGATGAATAGTGCAACAGCCTGGCACCACAGAAAGTAATTTATCTGAGGATTACAGAGGTATCCCTTCTCAGATACAGGTAAGAACAATAATAGCAAAAGGGATTAAAAACTGTGCACTGTATAGCCGCTGAAGGTACAAGGTATCACTGCAGTGTTTAACATCCAGCTTTCTATTGCATGACTCGGAAAGATGTATTTCCTTTCAGATTGTGACACTAAAAAAAAACCACTAGATGCTTTAGTACTTCAGCAGATGATGTGAGACTAAACTGTGTCTTCTCTGCCACTGGAGGTTTTCTTGTCTTGGAAGGCAGGATTTTTACTTCAGTTTGCAATTACCTGCTAGTTTTCATTTGACTGAAGTACCTTAAACCAGGGCCTGTAGCAGATCCAAGAGCTGTTTTCAGAAGGTGAAACAATTTCCCACCTTTTTCTCCAAACTAGAGATAATTCAAAAATTAATCCATGTTCTTTATGTTCAAACCCAAAGGCTATGCCTGCACATGCACCACATACCCGTTTTGCAGACACGTCCTCAAAGCAGACCAATAGCAGCTCAGAGACCTTCTCACTCTATAGGTGGCTACAGCAAGGAGCTCACCCTGGTCAAGCCTTATCTCACACAAAAAAATTGTATGCAAACCCTTCTGGGCCCTGCACACTTGCATATTAACAAAGTAAAGCTTGAGCTGCCTGGCATAACTTCACTGTCAGTGTTATCAGTGCTTGCTTGGTTCAGCTAGCACATGTTGGCCTGTACATTCACCTGCTGATCAAATGTGCAATGAGAGGAGCATGGGGGATGTGACCTACACACTCATGGGGATTCCCAGCATGTCAGCTTTTAGCATTGACCAGAAAGAGGTTTGAGTCCCTATAGGTAACTGTACAGCTAAATCACTAAAAAACACGACAGTGCTGAGGTCTACAAAATATTCAGCTAAGAAGGACCATCAGACATAAGACCCAGAGGAAATGGAAACTAAAGACAGAGAAAAAGATGTTAGTTGAAGAAGTGTCTCACCATTGAGGGGATGGCTTATGGAACGAGACAGGTGCAGACAGGACGAGACAGGCCAGAAGCTGGACGTAAAGAAATGTGATGGGATCGTGAGGCGGTTCACAAAGACAGGAGACAGAAGGGGGAAGATAAGATACGGGTATCCATGCACACCTGAGACCTGTGCCAAGGCAGTTATAGACGTAGGAGACCTCGGCCTGATGGAGTCTAGTGGGCAAAGTCCAGGTTGGTTGTCTAGCACACAGGCGATGCCGGTGATCCTCTCCCTGCACCTGGGCAGTGTGCCCTCAGGAGACCTTAGGTGCAGGCCCTCTGACAACTCTCTCAGTTTTAGATTACTGACCCCTGGTTCATCCTGGCAATCTGTCCTTGAGACTGAACAATCCACTGGGCTCTCCTTAGCAAGCCCTGTTGGGATCTCTCTACTAGGAACCAGAGACCCGGCAGTTTGGTTCTCCCTCTTGGAGGCTCGGACCTCAGGAAAAGAAGGTTTCTTTTTAGAGGCCCCAGCTGGTGACTGTGGAGACTGTGGTTCAAGCAGGGTTTTTGTTTTGGTAGTGGGTGAGAAGGAGGCCAATGTGGGTCTATCAGGCAACGGCTTAGGAATGTCAAGAATCAGATGTGCTCGGTTTGATGATGCCAACTTGCTGTGGAAGGACTTGGGAGATGAGCAGTTTACAACTGGCTGAAGTGTGGGTTTCACTGGAACATTTTCTTTCACTGGTAGCTTAATCTTCTCAGCGTCTGCTGCAGAACTAACTTGAGTCTTCTCTGTCACTGGAGGGCTAGTCCTCCCATCAGTCAACATTTCAGTGGAGGAACCAAGGTACAGATTTTCCCCTACAGATATGCTCCTTGACATCTTAGCCCGGAAGCTGGTTGTGGGGTTCATGTAGGACTTTGGTTTTGCAGCCCTGACATCTTTGGCCAGCAGAGCACCAGATCCATCCATCTTCAACACACTGGCTGATAACACCCTGCAATTGTTAGGTCTGGGATCCTTCTCAACCACCAAAAGAGTCTGAGGACGCTGCTTGGCAGAGGATATCACTCCAGGACCCTTATCTGTGAAAATTAAACAGACAAACACACCAAAAATAGACAAGAACCTGCAGTGAATTCCTAAATTGGAAAGTAACAGAGCTGCTCCTGCCTATGCGACTCAGTTCAGCCCCTAGGAGATGTGTACAAAACCACTACTTCAGGTTAATATTACCAAGCCTCAACAGCTGTCTTTTTTTCCCATCCCTCATCCTGCTCACACACTGCTGTTTTCCTGATAAGAGAGATTTGTTCTTAAAAGTGTATGATCAGAAGACCTCAGACTACTGTGACTGCTAACAGAGAAGCCAGAGGAAGTAGGTGAAAAATTATATAGCTGTTGTGATGATTAGGTGAGTTTTCATTTTTTTAAACAAACTGCATACACAGTAATGGTCCATGAGCTGATTGTTTCAAAAATAGTTATTTCATATAGAGGGCATGGATACAGTAAGCTCTCTGTTACTGTCTCCTCCTTCCTTCTTTCTCTCCTCCTCACCCTGGGGAGCTTCAGTCTTGGCTTGGAGCAACTACCCAGAGCAAGAGAGAATTTTTTTGCAAATACTTCATTTTACCCTTGCCAATGCTCCTCCCACAGCTGCCAGACAAATATCAGAGACTGGCAATTAGAAGACCAGCATCTGCATTAAAATTGGAAATATTTCCCCTTGTCAGGTAAGGAGTTAGAAGACATGTAAAGCCTGTAGCTAAGAATGCAGAAAGAGATAAGCTTAATTCAAATCTCTACTCAAATGTCCCCATTTCATTCTTGGGTCTATACCTTCATTCCAACCTGTGTCCTTACCCTCATGCACAAGGTCATGAACTGACTGCGCCTTTCTCATCACTGCATTCACAGGACCTTCTGGAAAGGAGGCAATAACTCGCCCCGGAGCCATACCAACTCTGCTGGCCTCCAAAGCCGATCGGCGTCTTTTCTGCACATAAATATCGCGATTTGAATTTACACGCTCCAGAAGCTGGCTGTTCTCCAGTGCATCATCAGGGTGGCTGCTGGCACTTTTCAATAGGTCTGGTGTAAACCGATTGGTCTGGGTTGTCAGCTCAATGGGCTTTGAATCCAGTACCAGATTTGAGGAAGAGAGCGACAATCGTCTAGAGAATGCAATAAAGGAACCCCAGTTAAAACAAGTAAATATGTTGCCCTGGATAAACAGGAACATGCATTAAGAGCCCTTCCCTATCTGGACTTTTCAAAGTCAAAAATGCCCTAAGCTGTTACCACTTCATTCTACTCAACCTTGTAAGCTCTACTCTTCAGGCATTTGCCCCTAGGCTGTGCAATCACAAATGGCATTGGGTTGCTGTTTCCGTGGAGGACACTGTAAAAAGTGAAGGCAAAACAGAAGGAAAAATTCTAGGTATAGGGAAGACTGGGCAAAGTCAGGTCAGGTCTTTTCTCTCAGCTCACCTTACTAACAAATCTTTTCAATTCTAAGATATCCTAAGAGGAAGTAATTATGCTTTCCTAACATTATGAAAGCATAATGACTAGGAAAGCTGGTCAGTATCTTCAAGAGGAAAGTCAAGTTTCCTCTTCCTCTCCACTGCAGATAAGCACAGTGGGCTTATTTCAGAAAGGAGGCAACTTTCAATGTTTGAAGAGCTAAACAGATTAAAAGCCCAGAGATTTCCAAACCTAAAATTACCTCTCTTGTTACATCTCTAAAACACCAGTGACTTCCTACATCACTGAACTCTTCACTACAATTCTCCAGAATTTTATACAATAGTTAACCAGTGGCTTTCTTCCTAAACATATGGTCCCAACATGAGATAGACTATGAGGCACTCCTGACAGCAGCAACAGCAGCTGAATACAGCAATAACAAACAACTTTCCCTAACGTGGTAAATCTGGACACAGCTGGTGAACCATAGAAGATGAATTCAAATCTGTTCAGCCCTACACAAGGAATTCCTTTGAGCAGAGATTTCAGGTTGTCATTTTAGAGAAATACAGGAGTATTTGTTTGTTTTAAACATTTATGAACATGAATCAACAAAAGTATTTATCTCATCTTTTGTTTGATTTTTTTCAATGTTTGTAGGATTTTATTTTTTTTTAAATAACAAGGGAAACAGCTTGGAGAGGCCTTTTAGGGCTGAGGGTTTTTAGCAAGAATAATATCCCCAGAATACCCTGTGAAGGCATGGGACCGAGAAACAAAGCTGAGTAAGAAAAGACTGTAAAACAAAGGAAAACTTCACAAGTCTACTTTCATTGTCCAAGCTGAATGAAATGCAAAAGAATAAACAGAGCATAAACAGTGAAGAGTAAATTAGATTATTAGCAATTCGTCCAACTTAATCAGCCAAGGCATTAATCATGAAACAATTAAGCACACTGTTGAAAGAGGAAAAAGAACAAAACAATAGTGTTGCTTTAGGAAGAAATAGAACAGCTAAAGTGAACCAGGACAGACTGTGCAAATCTGCAGCCAGCCTGCCAGGTGCTATGCTAACACTTTGCTGTGCCTAGGCACACCAAGGCCAGAAGTTTGCTCAACTATTTTCACCCAGGACCTGGCATGAGACATGTTCACACTAGTAAAAATAGACAGAGAGGAACACTCAAACAAGCTGAGCCATACCTGAGAGCCGGGGACTGGGAAAGAAAGCGAGAGGAAATGCTGAGGTTTTCAGTTCTTTCCAGATTCCTACATGAGCCACCTAAAAATTTTGGTTAAAGAAGAGAGAAAAATGAGCAGTTTAGTTACAGAACAAACATTCTGACACATGCATTTTCTTATCACAGAGACTATCAAGTGTTCCCTCATATACAAGGGTATTTTTTTGAGCTAAAACCACAGAGAATGAAATAATTACATTTCCTTTGCCTTTTCTGTTCTATTTAGATTACTCTGCCTTAAGCTGCTACTCTCCCTAAGGGTACGCCTCCTCCTTTTTTGTTTCCCTTTGTGTCCTATCCTGCCTGTAGGACTGTGAGGCGCTGGCAGCAAGCAGAAAACAAAACAGTCAAAGAGGGGAAAGAAAGAGAAAAAAAAAAGAAAATTAACAGATATTGCTGCCTGCAACCATTATCAATTCTAAAAATATATGCTTTGTTCTGGAGTTGGTCGATAAAGACAAACCAGTTCCTTTGCCACTCTGACGTCTCCTGTTAATCTGTCTCTCCACCCAGCATTTCAGCCTTTTCTTTTGTGACATTTGCTATGCTTTGAGACACCACTAGAGGCCACTGCGTGTTACCTATGGGGGTGGTGGTGAACACACAGTTAATACCTTCCTATGCAACAGGAAAAACTAGTCTGGGAACAAGAGAACGGCTCTTCAGGATTCCAGGGACAACACTTAACCCAAATTGACACAGGTCCCACTCTCATCCACACAAACTTACACACAGACCGATGGAGTTAACAGATGTCACACTTCTTTAGGCCTCTCTACACTGTTCCCCATTTTTCCCCCTGCCTGTACACATACGTCCATAAAAGCCTAGAAAAACTTGTAGCCTGGTTTGGTTCATACAGGGGAAAAAATAAAGAGTGACCTCACAAAGTCTCCCCACTGAGCAGAGAGATGTACCTTTTCCATCAGTGTTGCTCAGGGTCCCAAAATGCTCCTTGAGGAACTTTTCCTGATCAGGTATCTGGGGAATTTCTCCCTCTGGCATGCTAGCACCCACATCCTCCTCTCCTTCTTCTCCCTCCAGGTCAGAAACGCCGTCTACACTTAAGGGCTCAGTGCTTTCAGAATCTGGGAAAAGGCAAAAAAACTCCAATGCTGTAACAACTCAATCAGAGTAACATTAGTCAGGTTAAAAAAAAAGAAAAAAAAATCAACGAAGATGCTAAACTGAACCTAGAATGTTAAAGTCAGTCGGCATTACGTGTAATAATTCTCTAGTCTACCAGTATCCCACAAACAACATAGCCTATGGGATAATCAATACTAAACCTGCCTCCTTATCTAGCAAGGTAAAAGAAAGCCAAAGATGCACAAGGAAAGTGCACCAACACCTACTTCTACAGTGGCTTTGCTCAGGTGTCTGTTCAAATGCACCTGAATCTTTACAGCAGTACTAGTGTGACTAATAGGAGTGTGGCCTCAGTTCACCTCATGAAGTGCTCACATATAAATACATTCATAATGTCTTTGCATCTTACCTTCATTTGGATGGTCTGGGCTGGACAGACGACTGCTGCTGTAATCTACAGAGCAAGCACTGTCCGGACTGTGCTTGTCTGGGCATCCATTACTGTGATAACCTCTACATAGCTTTCCATGGGGCAATGCTTTTACCTGGAACTCACTACAAGAGAGACAGGAAGATACAGCACTAGAAAAGATATTTGTTCTACACGTAAAGAAACACATTTTAACTTTAATAAGGCCTTACCTGTGTTAGTAACACCTTTGATTACAAATGTAAGGCTTTAAAGAGAAAAAGAAGTTGATTTCTCTCATTATAATACAGTATATTTTTTGCATTTCATTAAGCTTGGACAGTGAAGTCCCAAGGGGACTGTCTGACTTTCTGGGCGTTGTCAGTTCCCATGATTACCAGGCACCAGCACTGCATTGCCCTGGCTTGATTTCCACCACAGGTGAGGAACAAATGTAGAGGTCTTAGTGATGAGAAAGGGACTAAAACCAGGCCTATACCTGCATGAGAGAAACTTTAGTTTGCCATAGGTTTAAGCTCTAATACACTACTTTTTCCATGTTCATGACCTGCTTCTTTGGGCAACTTCTCTGATGCAAAATCTAGAAGATTCTGGGTTAGATAAAGACTAATTTAGCGAAGAACATCATACAAAAATACAATCTCATAGGACAGGGTTCCCAATTTCTGCTATGATTTCATGAATCTTTTTTTGTCAAATGTCACCAGCACTGTTCTTCTGCCTGATGCCTAAGGACTTCAGTTTTCCTCTTTATGAAATACTTTGGTTTCAAATGTACTTCATTTCAATGTAGGATGCAGAAGTCACCCAACAGCAACTACCCCTGGCAGCTCACATGTACACTGAGATGTGTCCAGTCTGTATTCAACATCACCAGAGGGTCTCCCTTTCTTACATGGTGGAGCAGTACATGGGTCTACTCTGTCCAAATGTTACCATAATAAAATTGAAAATGAAAAATAGAGAAACTAGGTGAAACCTAGCAGCTTCAACCGCAAAGTCTTGGCATGCACTGTTGCATAAAATTCTGTCTAAAGCTATCAGCCCACTCTTTTTAACAGAACAGGAGAAGACAAAGGAAATTAAACAGCTATTAGCACCAGGTTAAGAGGGGAAGGGGAGAATAAAATTCAGGGAAGGAAAATAAAATGGAGCACAGAAAAATTGAATTACGTAAAATTAAAACAGAAGAAACAGCAGAGGAATAAAAAAGGTCTCCACTGTTTCCAGTGTCCTTTTCCATTCCATCTATATCATGCAAGCCATTCGATTTCCAACAGAAGAGTCATCACATACTACATTTGTTAAATTCTTTCCCAATTATCATAAATAAGTGTTCTGCCATTTCTCCTGGGCAGACATTTCACTGCTACATATGTGTCACTGTCAGGTGGTTTTCCAGCTTCCAAGTTCTCTCTTGCTTATTTCAATCCAGATAAGGGAGAAAGCAAAAAGGCTGCTCCCAAGTTGTTTATTCAACAAAAAAAAAACTTGGAGGAGACTGCTAATGTGCAGTTTCCTTGAAGGAAAATTATTTTAATGGTGCCTTTTTAGTTTTATATTCCTTTAGCATCCGTCTGACATTAAACTCTCAACTAAACATGCCTGACATCAATCAACTCATTCAAGTTACCACACAAGCTGCAAGAAAACCAGAACAGAAACATCTAAGCCATGCAGAGCAGAGAGCTTATTTTTAACCTGCTAGAGTCTGTGGGATGGATTTCATCTTGCTCAGGGTAGATTACACATTCCTCACTCTCTGAAGGTTCCAGCTCCTGAGAGAAAATCCCCTCTTCACAAGACACAAGCCGAATCACTTGGGGTCGTACACAAGACCCGTTATCTTGGGGAGGTATTGAGCTGCTAACCTGGTTTAATTAAAGAGAGAGAAGATTAGATATTTCCAGAGTTTTTCCTTAAGTCAGCCAGTGCTGTGCAGAGCTAGAAGGTATGCATTACAGCACAGGAATCTGAGATCAGAAAACATAGCACTCCTATGTGTTTTCTGTTCCTTATTTACTAAATTTATCAGATGACTGCTGTGCTTTCCTGTTTTGTCTCCCGTTTGCAATCCCCTAAGATTCCTTGGTAAAGTACTCTTTGACCACTCATCAGGAGCGTAAGCCATGTGACAGCATGTTCCTCCATTACCTTCTATAAACTGATCAGACATAATTCATAAAACTGGACCACAGCTGAAAAAATGATTTACTACACACAACAAGCCCAATCCTTTTCTCAGTTGTGCAGTTATAAAGGAAGGAAAAATCCTAATTAAGCTAGGCACTGGGACAGACTGCTACTGGAAAACAGCCATTAGCTTTCTGAGGTATGAGCACACATTAGTTGCTGTGACCCATCAATACAAAGATTAAAAAGAATTTACTAATCTAGCACAGCCCACATTTCAGTGGCTACTAGAGTCAAGAAACTGCTCCCCAGGAGAGTGAACTAACAGGTAATCAGGTACACATCTGTAATTCAGAGTTCAGCTTCTCAGCTTGTTTTTGACACAAATAATCAAAACTAAAAGAAAACATGAGGTCTTCCTGTCACTGCACAGAAACTTGATCCCATACAGTTTCTGCTATAAGATGGAAGAATCACACATTCCAGGAATACTAACTACGAAAAGAGTTGTCTAAACAAGTTTCTCAGAAGTCATTTAGAACACCTTTAATGATAAAAAGAATGGCATCAGTTAGTAATAAAGGTAATAACAAATAGATACAGGACAGATGCACTCAGAGTAGATTCATCTCCTCAGAGCACTACGGCCCTTACTTTGTTGATGTGCACAGGAAGGTCAGCGTGCTCTTCTCTGTCATCCCCATTGCTGTTTTGAGACAGCGAGTCTCGACTTGGAGAACGGGAAACAGAGAAGGACTCCAACTGACGCAAGTCAAGCATGGATTTCACGGTCATCTCTATGTTGCTGGTTGGTTGGGACCAGCGCCCACGTTGTCGGGGCATCTTACTCATTGGAGCCTCTGAGCGCTGGATTGCCGCTATCTCTTTGGCCTGAAGGAAATTGAAAGACAGACAGTCTTAAAGACTGAGTTTTGCTGATGGAAAAACAAGAGAAAAAAACCACAAAGCTCACAGAAGAACACAATTATGACCATCTACATAAAAGCCCCCAAACCATCTGTGGGACAGCTTAAAATCCCACCTTTAATCATAAAGCATTAAGTAAAGATGATACTTCTGTTGCTGCTTCTTGCATAATTGAACATATTTAAATGTCTTGCTCAGATCCAAGTATGTGAACAGCTTCAGCACCACATGAGATTCAGATCAAAAATGAAGAAGAAAAAGCATAACATCTGATGGAAAGATACTGATGTAAAAATCCCAAGGGAAACCCTAGCTTCTAAACTCCCTTGTCTCCTAAACTAGGCTTTATTTTGCCATCCCCAGGTCATTTTTCAGAGAGAGGCTTCTCAATGGTTTCCCACCACAGCTGCACCTTTCCCACCTGTGCAAATGCAGTTTTTAATCTCTGCAAATTTCTTTTTCAGTTTCTCTATGACAAGAAAAACAATTTGAAGGTTTAGTAACTCACCCTCCTCATTTCCCAATGGGAAAGACTTCTTGAGAGGGTAAGGTCTGGATCTGGAAAGGTAAAAACATATACAGCTAGTTGACATCCTTGGCCAGCAGTCCAGCTTTTGAACAACCTTCTACCTCATCTTTCCTCAAAAGCGGTATTCTTACACCTTTTGAACCACTGTCAGTACATGCTTTCCCACAGACTACCAAATCATTGTATCAAAATTTTTATGGAGACATACTCTTTTATGTAAGATTTTTACTGACTCAGCAGACCCACTGCAGAACACTTGCCACAATGCAGTGCCCTCCCAAAGGCTTGGACCAATACACTGTAGCACTCTGTGGTAAAAATACATCAAATTAATAATGGTAATCTCTACTGTAAGTTTTATTAGACACCTCTAGAATCCACCATGAGATCTTTTTTGGCTTCTACAGACATCCAATAGCTTGTAGACCCAAGCCCATGAAGCTAATTCAAAATTTGTTTGGCCAGTTGGAACTAGCAAGAAACTTGGCAATTTAACAACTGAACTTCTAGTTAGAGAACTAACTAGAACTCTGAATAGTACCCCTCTTCAGATGCAGGAATGGGCAACTCCACATTACCCATTGTTATCTATCCATCTGTTTCTGTTTTGGTCTTTCTCTTTCTGTCCATAACTTGTTATCTCTAAGCTAGCATCTCTCATCTTCTCCCCCTTCGCATTCATGCCATTTTCCTCCATCTCTGCCCATGCTCCTCTCCCATTTATACCTGAGTCTCTCTCAGTGTTGCAGCTGGATTGAATACGGAAAGACTGCAGCCCACGTAACTCATCTTCATCATTCCCCTCATCTTCACCATCCTTGTCACTGTCTGATGAGAGTGCAGGCACAGAGGACAGGGCAGAGATGGACTCGTGCCTGGAAGGCAGGAATTAGAAGGAGTATTATAGTCCATGACAAGAACTGCTTACCATTTCAACCCTTACATCAATTCTCCAGCTCATCTCCATCCACACTCAGCAGGCTGCCTCAACTCTCCCACACAGCCCGTGCTCTAGCACAACCCACGTGAGAAGCAGGGCAAGCTAAATCCTGCACAACATTGTGTAGACCCTGCCACAGCAATCATCTCATATGTATGGAAGGATGACAGAAAGCAGCACAGAAGTAAACAAATCTGAGAAAGTCAAATGGAATGAAACTTGGCCTTCCATTTCAGCCTCTGCCAACTGATAAGGTCAAGATGACAGACTATATTTGAAAGGCAAATATTTTTCCCACCCTTAAGCATTTCCTCTCTGAAACTGTTTTACATATCAAAAACGTCAGACATAGTCTTTCTTTGAAAGTAATTTTGTTTATGGTAAATTATCCCATAAAAGACAGGTTCATTTCACGGATTGCACCAGGTAGAACCTGAAGGTACAGCCCACACACCATAAGAGCATCACGCTGCCTATTTTAGTCTTCAAGCACAAGGATCATGTAAAACATATTTTGGGCACATCTTTGATTGAAGTAGATCAAGACAAGTTTTACCATACAGACCTAAAATGCACTCCTAGCACAGTAGTTTCCAATACCAATCAAGGACACTCACCAACACCAAACTTTATCCTCCCTCTCTTTTCTCCTCTTCCCCTTCCACCCCTCACCCCTCCAGTCCACAGAACCAAATGAACTAACCCCCTTTGGACAATAATTGAAGAAAGAAGAATCCCCAACAAATACATCTGAGTAGTACCCACTCCATAGCCTTGAGCTAGAGTGCCAAACTCATCATTAGTGACATTTATAGGATATCACTGGTGAGTGTTGAGTGGCAAGCATTATTCATGAAACGAAAATAGGTCATCCACCAAATACAGAGCAGTCTGGCAAGGGACCATTCTCCTGCAGCTTACAGATAGCAGGTAGTATTGAAACATGGTAAGAAGCAGTTAAGATATTTTAATCTTTTCTCTTCCTGTGTAGTGGCAGAACATTAATTTCCATTTTATTAGGAGCGCCTGAGCAACAACTGCCCAACCATTTCAGATGAGCTTTGAGGTGTTCGGCAAGAAGAAGAGTGAAACTGATTGTAGCCTACAGAGTTCTCAAGTGAAACAGTTTCTTATTGGTCATCCTCATCTACTTTTGACATTTGTCAGTCTCTCTCTTTTCTACTGTCTCCTCATGTGCCCAGCTTATCACCCTCAGATTCTTGTGTCTAAGCAGGTGAATCCCAACAAAGTCCAAGCCCCAGAGTATGTTTGAGGTTATGTCATGTTTCATCCTATGACATATTAATGTGATAGGCAATATTAACTTTGTATCGGTAACTTCAATTACATCCTTCTGCTTGTTTTCATCATGGTTGTTTGAAGAGTTTATTGAGACAGAAGGGTTAGATTATTAGACATTGTAACATCTAACTGGTTGAATATCTCACTATAATGAGGCTATATGGCAAGGTAAGATTATGTGTTTGCTAAACTCCTTTGTGTACTGTCATCGGTGTAAACGGAGAAGGGAGGATTGCTATCCATGTGTATTATGTTACGAATAGAAAGACGGCCCCTGTCCATCAGACTGTGACTGACAAAATTAGTAAGAGGAGAAAAGGTATGTTCCAGTATTCTTAAAGTAGTAGAGTAATAGAATGTAAAACATATTTTGGAAGTCAGATGGGTGGGTTTTTTATACCTCACAGGAAGTGATAAACAAATTACGAAGTCACATGTGTTTGATACAAATGTAAGATTATCTTGCATTATCCCAGCAAAAATTCATACCCCTCTTCCACATTCTCCTTTTTACAACTCAAGTATGCTTTTCAAACTCAGTCCTTTAACTTGAAGGGAGATGACTGAATGGGATTTTCAGAAGGACCTTAGGCCCACTAACTTGAAACTGAGATATTCCTGAAATGAAACCTAGATTTCCAAGGTCTTGAGTGTTTTAACTGTTGTTCTTGTCAAAATCAGTTTCTCAATTCAGACTTCACTACTTTCTCCTTTCTTTCCTTGCCTTCCCGTTTGTACTTGGATTTTCTCCTAAGTCCCTCTTGCACACATCTCCTCAATACTCTTCCGCAGTTCTTTTTCATGCTTAGATGGGAGTCAGAGTAATGTACAGTGAGTTTTCAAGCACTGGAGCTGTTTCCAAATAAGCACCACGAGGGAGCATTTTGAAAACGATAGAGTAAGACTTCTAGGTTTTGCTGAATTCCCACTGAGAGCAGGTTCAGCCAAATCCCAAAGCATCATTATACCAGAATGAATGTTTCACAGTAGCTATTCCAGAATAGCATGTACAGTCATGTCCAATTCTCATTAAATGACTCACTTAAAGTAAGTTTTAATTGTCCTTGCTCATCTTCTTCTTTGCTAAGGAACTAACCTGTTCTAGTATCATAGAATCATTAAGGTTGGAAAAGACCTCCAAGATCATCAAGTCCAACTTTTGACTGAATACCACCATGCCCACTAAATCATATCATGAAGTGTCACGTCTAATCATTTTTTTAACACTTCCAGGGATGGTGACTCCACCATTTCCCTGGGGATCCTGTTCCAATGCTTAACCACTCTTTCAGTGAAGAAATTTTTCCTAATATCCAACATGAACTTCCCTTGGCACAACCTGAGGCAATTTCCCCTTGTCCTACCACTAGTTTCCTGAGAGAATAGGCAAACTCCCACCTTGCTACAACCTGAATCTTTTTCTGTACAGGTCAGCAGAGCCAGTTGCCCTTCAGCTCCTAGTTTTTGAAGGGTCGGACAGTACGGGGTCAATGGCAGGGAAGAACCTTCAGTTAGAAAGTCTTCAGGACATATATAAAGATTCACAAGTGCCACATGTCCTTATGGAATTCTAGTATTAAGACATCTGATAACAGGCACTCTGTATTCTTTTGTATGACCTGAATCGAACCCTGTTTTCTTTTCTTAAAACAAAACAGAGCAGACAAGAATGGCAACTATCCATTTAAAGAGGTATGTTTTCAGCACTCCCACTCTAATCTTGTGCTACTTAAATCCTCAGCTTTAGGGACATATTTATGAAACTGTAACATCCTATGTGGTAGGTATCCCTAGCAGGTTGTGTCCCCTTGCTTCCCCCTCAAATGCCTAAGGGTTTTAAAAAGAAAGTTACTCTGCTTTTCCCCACAGAAAGATCACAATGCTGCTGACTTCAGAGTTTCCCTGGTGTTATAATTGCAGTAGTTCATCGCAGACTCAAGCACCATTTCTGATATGGCATCAAAAGCCACTCTGAGCCCTGGAAACAACACAGCTTTCCTGGACTCACTGAGAATCTGATAAGGAGTTCTTCTTTCCAAATATATCTGACAGCACACAGTACTTCTTCAGCATATATATATAATTTTTAGGCAATTCAATGTGGATAACATTTTCATCTCCTGCTATTCATAGTAGAGCTTCAAGAAAAGCAACAGAAATGTGATTTTTAAAATTAATGTAAAAAATATAAATGCTCAGTTGAAACATGACTATAAACCCTGCAAATATTCCATAGTAAAATCAATTTAAAACTTCCAAAAATTTGAGACAAGCTTTTTTAAACTATAAATGCATACTTGGATCAAATTCAAAACCCTATTAAATGGCCTTTACATGATTCCTTTATTGAAAATATAAAAGCCTTAAACCAAAACATACCATCAATATCAGCTGAGTATAAGTTCTATTATCCTCAACTATACTCCTCATGTTCAGAAAAAAGCACACATCTGCAATTACCACAACTAGAGGCAGAACTGAAAGGCTCTCAGGTGCACTGTGGAGAACTGTGAGTCATACAGGTCTGATCAGCTCCAAGATAATACAATGCCCCATAAAGGTGAGTCAGAGATATCATTCAGAGGAGAAACATTAGTCTCTCTAAAAGTTTTTGGAGGGACTGAAAATGCTGGGACTGTTCAGTTCAGAGAGGAGGTTGGATGAAGAGAGGTTATGATAAAGGTTTACAAAACCATGAGCACTACTGATAGCTGGATGCAGAACAATAGTTCACCAAAGTTCACAATATTCAGAAGCAAAGGGCTTTCAACAAAACTAGTAGGATGTGTTTTAACAGAGACAAAAAAGTCCCTCTTTCCACAGAGAGCAGTGAACTCCTGGAACTTGTCACAAAAGAAGGCTGCAGAGACAGACCGTATTACAAAATTCAAAAAGAATTCATACAAACTCAGTGGACAATGGGCCAAATACTAAAGGGAACAGGTAGAGGTGTTCCTCCTAACATCCCTGAGATAACAATTGAGCATGAAGCCAATAGACCACAAAGGTTCATACAGCAAGGCTCACGCAGTGTCTCACTAAATAGCATCTTGCATTGCCACTGTCACAGGCAGAATACTGGGCTTCATGGAGCACTGGTTTGACCCAAAAAGGTATCTTCTGTGTATTTACACTCCCAGTGTTACTCACCTGGGTCAATTCCTGCCCTGACGGTTGCAACTGGACAAACAACACTGTCTTGATTTGGAAATCTTCAGCTCCCACTGCCTCATCAGATCAGTTTTGTTACCCCAATCTTATTTTGTTTATTCATCCTGTACATACACTCATAGAACTAGCAGAATATGTTACATCCCCCACCAAATTCTAGTAATCTTGTTCTAGAGAAAATCTTGTAGCAAAATGACTTATTACCAGGCAGGGAGCTTTCCCATACTACTGTCAGTCTTTTGAGACAACAACTTTATACCACAAGTCACAACTCAACTCTCTACTGCAACCTACACAGACAGACTTTGGAAACACAACCAGAACAGATACAGGGCACCTAGAAAACCAATCTTACTCAAGTTCACTAGTTTTCCTTCTCCCACCTCAATAATGCTGGTCCAATAGGCTCTTCTTCCATCTTTAGTCCCAGTCCAAAATGCTCGGGAGTTATGTCTTTGCTGATCTCCAGTGACCACAGCGGTCGATCAAAACTGAAAACAAGCTTTCAAAGCTGACAAGTAGATTCCAGGCTTGCAAAGAGGTTACCAAACAAGTTTAATAAACTTGTGGGCTTGGCGTGGCACTAGCACCGCCCTTCAGTAAGCATCTGCGATGGAAATAAGTATCACCTCACGTGGAAGAGGACTGGGATTATCTGCCACGGGCTGAGCCTTGGTAGAGTGAGGCTGCAGCTGCTGGAATAATGGAGAGACTGCTATAAAAAGCACATTGCTTGATAGACGCAGAATTTTGGCTAGAAAAAAAGGCTTCCTGAGTTTTCCCAGTATCATTACTGAAAACACTTATTAGACAAGACTCATTTCAAGAATGAGGAGATTAAGGCTTTCCAAAACAAAACTATGCAGACAGACTTGTTTCAACATTGCTTGCTCCCAAAAGGAGTGGGGAGGTCCTCGTGACACTCAACAACCAGTGTGGTAAATCCTCCAGTGCTTTGGTACTTTCATATCCAGTACTCAATTTGTAGTCATTTGGAGGAGGAAACTTGTGGAACATAGGAACAAAAAAAATTAAAAAAGAAAAAACAAACAAACAAAAACCAAACAACCAAACAAAACCAACAAAAAACCAAAACACACCTGTGTTTATTCTTTTTTCCCCACTATGATCTCATATCAGCTTGGTCAGGACTCTCTTCTGCACTGTTTACAGTCAAACTAGTCTCAGCTACTTACAAACTACAGAGAAACTGAATACATTACACTAATAATCAAAAATCCCCTGTCACTCTTGTTCTGTTTAAAAACAGAAGCAACACTTTTTAAAGAAAGGTCACCAGATAAATTTAGATCTATTCAGCTTGTAGGCGGTAGGACTTTGTTTTTAGATATGTTGTTTACCAAGCAAAAAATAGTAATATGATATAGCTGCCAAGAGCTTTTCCCATTTAAATTATTTTTATATTTATTATTTATATTATAATTATTTTAGGTGAGTTTTTTCAAAGTCTCCAGAAAACAGTTAACAACTGTTAACAACAAACAGTACAATTGTAAGGACTCTTTCAGAATTATGATCAACATAGCAAACTCGTACAGCTCACAGGTATACTTCACTACTGACACCACAGAAAAGAGCCTTTAAATTGCATTCATCTTAGATTCAAAGAACTTTATTCATGAAGGATCACAGCTTCCTTGGTGGGATGCCATGTACCATCCTCAGTATTCCTAGGTGAACTGCTTATTCAAGTTTCTAACCATATCATTAAACTAAATTAAGACAGAAGAGGCATTGTATATACATTTCAATCAGTGAAGCACACTAAATAAGTCTGTCTGGAAGATCACAGTCTGATTTCTATATCCAAAGAAGAAGGGCACAAAACCCATGGCAAATCCATCAGAAGTATAAGAGAACTTTTGGAAGACACTATCAGTGAAGACAGCAGAAACCTCACAGTTGAATCCCAGTGCCACACTGTTCACATCCCATGCTAAAAAGCCAGCCACCTCTTCTCAGTCTGCTCTGCTCACCTCATGAGTCCAGTTGCCTTGTGAGGAGGAGACTTCTCTGCCTGCTTCCCTCTCTGTTTCATGTCAGACAGTCGCTGCCGCATGTTGATGGTCATCTCTGAGCTCAGACGCCAGATGAAGATACAGCTGAAAGAGGGAAAGGTGAGGTTGGGATCAAGTCTTGGTTTAGTTTATTGACACTAATTCCCTCTGCAGACACAAACAAGAGCCCTTCTGTCTGTGGCAGGGAGATACATGCAGAAACAGAAACTCAATCCCATCCCAAGCCTCATGACAAAAACCTGCCTGGCAAAGACTCCCTGTGGGCAAGAGCAACTGCAGAGGTATTTGCACGGACTCATCTCTGATCCTATACCTTTATTTGACTATCTGATCAGTTGCTGAAGGAAATGCCATAACAGGTCCCTCTGCAGTCAGAAGGATAAGTGGAGCCTACAGATGTCCCTTGCATCCTCTAACTGTGGCTAAGCTGCAGCATCTGATTGCAACTACCCCCACGGGCAAGGCCTTATTAATGCCCACCATCCTATAGAGTCTCCATAGTGTAACTGTTATGTGGCAGTACTTTTTGCAGTCCAGGTGCTCCTACTACTTTACTTGGACTCCCTCCAGAGCACTTCTGAGGAATTTATATGGCCATTAGCTAAGTTGATTAGAGCACAGTGCTAATAACACCAAGGTCATGGATCCAATCCCCATATGGACCATTCACTTAAGATCTGGACTTGATAATCCTTGTGGGTCCCTTCCAACTCAGAATATTCTGTGAAATTTAATTTAATTTGGTCAATGGATTTGAAAGCATTTAAGAAAGGGAAACAGTGTGGTCTCATTTCATTAATTTCTTCAGAAATTCAGCTTTTAAAAAAAATATATTCCTCATCACATTAGAGAATCCTGTATCTCTTCTTCAGCTACTAGAAAGTAAAATAACCAGCACTGCCTTTGAAATTTAACCTCAGTGCTAACTAATTCTTTTCATCTCAGCCATCTTTCCTGTCTAGCTGGGTGTACTTACACTGATGTACAAACAGAGCTGGTGCTTTTGCTATCACTTATAAAATCCTGCACTCTACTTTGAATCCAAGGAGGATTTAATCCACTTCTTCAAGACCCATCATTGCCTCCATACGCGTGGGTATACTCCAATTCACGGAAGATTTTTCAATTAGTGACTTTTTCTTCTTTCTTGATAGTCCATAAAAATTAATTTGCTTTGCCATTTTGAACCATGACCACAAAATTTGGTCTCCCTCATATGAGGTAAATGTCAAATGGTCCGGGATCCTAAATGCCTGAATCTTCTCTATATTTTATCTCTCATGAGGAGACACTTCAAAAGGTGTCAAGTTCCATATCACACAAAAAGAAAACATAAACCCCTTTTTGCAGCCCGTGAAGATTTTAACAAAAAATTAAAAACTCCCTTCTTGCCCTCAGTGCCACACTTTAGTAGCATCCCTCCCAGCTACTGAAATCACATAGACGCTTCCCATTGACAGGGAACACACTGTCATCCTCCCACCTAAGCTTTTCATCCAGGAGAAAGGGGTGAGGCACTGTGTCTGGGAACTATGGCAACACAGGGCAAGCAGCTGCTTCCCCTCAAGCAACACCTCTCGTGAAGTAACAGCCGTTAATCTGCGGCTGATAAACTACCGAAAAGGAGGAAACAAAATTCCGAAAGCAAATCTGGCTTGTTCATTTATCCCACTCCCACAGCTATCCAACCTAGAGATAAACAGCAAACAACATGAACTTGTGAATACATTGGCATTCAACACAAACTCTAAAAAAACATGTTCCCACCTACCCCTTTTGCTGGGGTTTGCAGTGGGGGGGGACGTTTTGGTTCGGCTTTTTTCTTACCTTGCAGTACTTTTCTCTACATGAGTCTCACAGTCCTTGTGCCCTTTCTCATCTCAGCTTTTCCTTCTATTCTCAGTTTTATTCTTTGCACATGCTGCCGTGTGTGAACAGACTATTTTCCCTGTTCTCCTTTGAAAAACATGCTTTCTCATCTCTTTAAGCAAAGCTCCTCGTGAATTTTTTTCTCATTTCTCATCCACCTCCTCCACACCCTTAGTGAAGAAAATTACCTTTTTGCTCATGAAAACATCAACAAGGGGATGCTGCACTAAATCACAAGGATCACTGGGGACTTCCAACCTTCCATGTTTCTGGAATTTTTTGGAAGTCCACAACAAAAAGACTCTCTCTCCAGCAATTTTTTCCCTAACCTATTTACACACGTGAAAGGTAAAGATGAAAACTAAATTATTTATTTTTTTACTGAAAGACAGAAATAACCAAGGGATGAGATTTAAGATGATATATTGTATGTTTTGTAACAACTTACCCTCCAAAACTCTCTTTCCAATTCAGTTGTGTTTTATTAGTAAAAAAAGAAAAAGAGAGAAAATCTGGGTTGCTCTGGACTTGCAATAGCACTCCAGGAACCATCTTTCTCAAAGGAAACATTTTATTCGGTTCAGGTGATTTAAACATTCATTGATTCCAGAAATAGTGGGTCCACTCCCCCCTACAATCATCATATTAGGCATATATTCTCCTTTTCCCCTTGGGCTCAGTCTGGTGATTACTCAAGCTTTTAGTGAACTGATTTAGTCCACTAAATCAGCAGAAAACTTATCTGGGGAGAGTGACCTAAATCAGCTGAATGAGGGGCCAACTGCATCACTGCTGACTGAGGGGAGTGGCAAAGAGGACTCTACAGACAGGATCAAAAAGTGGGGACAAGCCTGTCCCTTTTGGTGCTAGACAGGCACTTTCACCTGGTGAAACTTGCAGGAGTACTGCAAGAAAAAGTTTTGGCACCACTGGTAAAAATAGCACAAGCTGCCTTACATTACAAACCTGAAGGCTGGTCAGGAAAGTGGCCATATCTCTGTCTCCTTTCCAGCAGCAAATACCACTTACACTCAGAAAAGTGAAGTACTTCACTGTGTGTCTCATTCCATGGAAGGATAATATAAGCTCTGTGAACTTTACCAACAGCACATATTTAGGGTTCAGAAAGTTCCAAGGTTTATTTGGAATGCATAAAACATCCTTCATTAAAAAAAATAAAAATCTACTCTCCTTAAATCCAGTGTGAAATGAGCAGATATCATAAACAAGCAAACACCTCTTACCTGTCACCAGAAACAGAGATCAGATGTTTGCAGTCATTACTGAATTTCATCCCGGTTACAATCTCTGTGTAAAATAAACCAAAAGAAAAAAAAAATCTTACCTGAATTATTCCAATGGACAGAAGAGATCATTAGCCAAATAGCCTATCTGTACTCAGTAATTCAAATTCTGATTAAAGCCAACACACTTCACAGATCAACATGCCCCAATTACCATAACCATTTAACCAAGAATCTAGGCTTGACGTGGAAAGGGCATCCCATGGCAAAATATACTTGAAGACTGAATTTTCTTTTTGCCTATGATAGAATAGTTCCTGCAAGGTATGAGCTGAGGTTATGTCATAATGAAACTCAACATACTCTGAAAAAACACAGATTACTTTATAGCCTAATAGAAAAACTGCGTAAACAAATACATGGCTTGACAAGTGTGTGTGCTTGTGTGCAAAATGCAAAAGTTGAAATTGCAATGAAATAAGCTATTACAAGTAATTCTAGCTACAACCTACTCAAAAATACAAATCAGGTAAACTTTAGTGGTGAGAAACCTTCAGAATCTTTGATTAGTATCAGACCCTAATTATATAGTCATCAGCAGAAAAAAATGCAATTGCAGAAGTTAATGTGCCTTACCTGAATGTCCATACATGGTTGCAACACACTCGCCAGAATAGAAATCAAAGATAGACAGGTTCTTGTCAGAACAACTGGTTGCAATATAAAGACCAGAGGGATCCGTTTGCACCTGGTGTAGGAGACAAGAGGAATGCAAAGACCTGGGGAGAAAGTACCTTCAAACCACATGAAAATGGTCCAGAATACCAAAGACAGTCAGAGTAGTTAACAGAATAAAATGCAAGTAGCTCCCACAGGACTCCAATTGAATACTAGACTATCCAGCATCCCAGGACAAATCTCCAATCTGACTAAACTTTTAAGACTACCTCCAACCTAATCAGAGGCTACAGACACTTGCATTAAATGCCTTCATGACTGTGAAAACATCACCACCAATGGACAGACTTATACCTCTCCTACCTTCTTTTAACCACTGAGGTCTTATTTTCTTCTATGTTAAGATCAAAACAAAATCATAAGAAACCCCAAACACACCCCAAAACATCCCTCCTCCAGCCACAAGAAAAAAAATCAGAGCTGACAGAGTTAAGTGAAATTTAAAAGATTCCAGTCTTGAGGAAGAAATCAAAAAAGAACTAAACACTGCCAAGAAACGGTCTTTGACAATGATACCATCAAATCTTCGGCACTTGCAACTCCCACTTTTGGACTAGTTTGTTGTTTGTTTTTTCATATGCATCCATTGGTTGCTTTACCTCAGATCAAATATAAAATCCCCTCCAAATGCCTTACCAGGTCTAAAGCTGCGCTATACAGCAAATACAGCTACTGTCACCAAATGTCCTGCTCTGTTCTTTACAGAATTTTAAGGAACTGAGAGTGAAAATGTCTGGTTTTTAAGGGAAACATGGTACTTAAAGAACGGTTTTTGGTTTGGTGAGTTGTTGGGGTTTTTTCTTTAATTTTTATTTTGTTGCTGTATCTTTTGCTTCCAGTGTCACTGTTTGGGTTCTACTCATTAAACTGCAATGTATATTATGATCTCAGAAAAACAGGCCAAAAAAATTTAAATTCCAGAGATAACCATAATCCCCTTGGTTACATAACTGTCTTAAAAATGAGCAAAGCAACATTAAAAAATAATTGAGATTCCCCATTTGAGGTACACATAAAAAAAAAAAAAAACAACACAAAAACCTTAAAGGTTGTTAAAAACAAAAAAATCCAGCTACCAGCCCATTTCATGGTTTCCGGTCTAAGAAAGACATAATCAAGCACCTAAGTTTATCAGCGATGAAGTGTAGCATCAATTTTTCATTTTCATTACTCTGACTAATAAAAAACCTTGTAGGAAAAGAGAAAGAGAACTTATCTTTTCTCTGTAAAACAGAAGATAAGACACTGAACAAAATTATTTTCCCCTTCCTTTTTGCCCAGTTATTGATACCCATCAATTTCAGCTGGAAAGGAACTACAATAATCACTTATTCCTGCCTGACTAATTCAGGGTTGACCAAACTAAAGCTTGTTATTAAGGGCAGTGACCAAGTGCATCTTCAACACTGACAGCTTGGGGCCTCGACCAACTCTCTTAGGAAACCTGGTCCAGTATTTGACCAAACTCTCGGTGAAGAAATGCTTCCTAATGTCCAGTCTAAACCTCCCCCGGTGCAGCTTTGAACCATTCCCACATGTCCTGTCACTGGATCCCAGGGAGAAGATATCAGCACCTCCCTCTCCACATCCTCTCCTCATCCTCATCCTGAGGTCATCCCTCAGCTCCTTCCTCTCCAAACTAGAGAAGCCCAAAGTCCTCAGCTGCCCCTCATAGGACATTCCTTCCAGTCCCTAATAATAATACTGCTGACCTGTTCAGCTGAACAGAAGTATTTGGTTTAAAAAGTATGAAAAAAGTGAGGGGAAAAAAAAAAAAGAAGCAGTTTGTTTGGCAATTTAACTTGAGAGATATTCTGGTTGTGTAAATTGATTCCTCCTTTGAAGACAAGAATGCGATTCTTCCACATCCCAGTGTGCTGACATCACTCTTAACTCTGGATCTTGAACACACCTGATTTACCAGGGTAAGCCTGGACAGTGGCAGAAGCAGGCATGCTACCCTACCCCAAGGTCTGGATGCACTCAGCAGGTGGAAAATATGAACAGACTCTCTCTAAGCAGTTACCAGGCTTGTTCAGTACTCTAAGATGCATGCTTTTCAGGTCAGATGCCATTTAATTTCATCAACTCAGAGTTTCACTTGTATTTGCCCTCTGAAAACCACTTCACAAACACTGATCAGCAAGCATCTCCACCTTAAAAATCCTAACAAAAACAGTCAAGAAATCCAGAATGAGCTCTCTGGAGCAGAAAGTAAAGGATTAAATTAAATGGATTATCTCCTGACAGATTCTGGTGCAGTTCTACTTGTTTTTACATCATGGGCCAGTGACTTACTGCAGAAACAGGACAGAGAGAAAAATCATACATCATCTTCAGGATTTATTGACTCTTTTCCTGTTTTAGGCTGATGGAATCCAAATTACCAGCCATTAAGGATGGAGATAGGAGGAAGCAGCAGCAGGGCAAAGGACAAAGTATGGAGCAAGCAAAAAAAAATACTGTGTTCAGATTCATTTCCTTGTCCCTCAGTTGCATTCACAAAAGCTGAAAAAAATAAAAAAAGGAAGAAAAAGGAAAACAGCTTACTTTGATAAGAGTGCCATCTTCACCTTGGGATCCCTTGTAAAGCTTCTTCTGCTTCCCACTGCTTATGTTGAAAACCCTGAGGGGATGCCAGAAGATAAAATGGTTCAGTTTGCCCAGGTGCTCTTCTGGGGCTCTTTGTCACCAGGATCCTTTTCTATCTCTGTTCCTCATTCCACATAAAATACATGAAACAGGGCCACAGGAAGTGGGGAAATGATCTCCATGAAGTATAACCATCAATCATTTAAATGGTTCAAGAAACAACCTCAAAAGTAATGTAGAGGCAGATTATCTGAATTAAACTTGAGGTTTTATTATCAAGCCTCAGTCCTTCCTGAAGTAAAAGTACCTGTGGCAGCTCCATACTAAAGGAAAGGATTAAGAGAGCAAGACACTTTATTTAGAATACTAAACCAGTAGTGATATTTAGCTATGACCAAAACTCACAACATCTCATCCAGCTGCAACAGCAGAAGACACAAAACTACAGAGAAACTCCTTTGCTTACAAGCAAGACAGATTGGAGAAATGGATAAAAAGGAAGCAGAGAATGGACTCCACTTGTTCAAAGACAGTAACACCTAGTTCAGTTTTAGATTCCCACAGTCCCAGCTATTCCACAGGACCTCACAGCTTCTCACTAGACATATCTTCAAAACCAAAAACTACCGCAGTGCAGAGGTTCTTGCCCCAAAGCTCAATGATGTGCCAAGAAAGGCACACTTGCTCTCCCACTAGAAGAGCTTTGCTCTGCAGAGCAACCCAATGAGAAGCCAAGAGTCCCAAGGGCATTTGCACATATCCACAGCTTTTTATCAGTGAGGGGATAGGGAGAGTTCAACCTCATAGTGTGAGGTGAGGCCTCAGATCTGTCTGAAAACGCTGTATTAAAGAACCTAGAGGAACAATGATGAAAATGGGGCCGCCTCATTGAAGATTGCAAACATATTTTCAAGATGAGAAGTAAACTAACCTGATGTTACGATCCTGGCATCCAATAGCTGCATATTTCCAGCTGGGGTCCACATCCATATCATAGAGAGTGGTCTTCCTAACAATGTGATGTGTTCGGGTAAACTGAACCCCTTCTCCTGTCTAAACATGTGGGCAAAGACCGTGTCACAATCAAAGAGTTAACCCTTTATTAAACACAAATAATACAGATGAGTCTTCTTACACAGCCAGCCCAAAACAACCCTTCCCAGGGAGCTGCTGGGAGCAGCTGGGATTGGAGGCACAATGAACTCCTCCCTCCAGCCCACACTCTTTCACCACTCCTCACAATAGCTCTGGCAGCAAAAGAAAAGCAGATATCCTAACTGCTCTCTACTTTGCATCTTGCTGTGAAAGGTTAGGCCAGAACTAGCTGCATACTTCACAGAAGTAGTTCTCCAAATGTAATCTCTTGTATCGAGTCAGTGGGAGACAACTGAGACTGCAATAGCAACAAGCTCATAAAGAAACTCGGATATCATTCTCTGAAGTAGCTCCTTTGTGCAGAGATTATTAATTAAAAGCACACAGAAAAAGCTGTGATAAGGTTACCTTCTGCGCAGTGCGGAAATAGATGCTCTTGTCTGCCCCACAGCTTATCATTCGCACTTTCCCATCATTGGCTGGAACAAAAAAGCAGAAGACAAAAGATAAACACAGATTCAAGGTGGAGGAAATGTTTTAATTCATACCACTCCTCATGTATTCTAGTACTAATTAGCTAAGCCTGACTGCTCTGTAAGCAGCAAAACAGAAACCCTGTCTCAGGGACAGCATTTGTTGTTAATGCTCAGAGTGCATGTGGCCCTAATACAGCTTTATAGAACAGATTAGGATGTAATTCTGTCTTCTCCCTCCCCAGTATGCTCATGTGCTGACTCTCTCTGTGCCACAGCATTCCATGGCAATATGGCACATTCACACTTGGTATGAGCTGAAAACAGGCAACAGGCACTTTTCAGACCTCAGAGTTGGTCACTTGTTTCTTGCCACCCTTTCTTACAGCAGGGTCAGGCTTTCCTTCTTCCCTTAGCAATCTTCTGTAACCAATCTGCTCCTTCAGCAAAGGAACACCTGATACAACTCAAAGTAATGAAAACTAATCCAATATCACACAGGCCCTTGAACTGCACCCATTTAAAGCACGCCTGCACCTGGCTCACAGACCAGCACAAAGGCCAGGCCTTAAGCCCAGTTCCCTCATCTACTGGGAGATCATCTAGCTGCATTCAAGGCCAGCTCACTGATAAGACAGACTTGTTAGAGAAACTTTTGCTGGCCTTGAAGCTCCTCAAGGAAAAAAAAAAAACTTGAAAAAGCCACACGGTGGCTCTGGGGGGCCTCTGCTATGAAGCTTCAGCGAGGTCCCTTCACTCTGGAGCTATTTTCAAGCTAAGGTTCTCATCCTTGAGCCCCAGCTGAGCTATACTGCAGCACCATTGCAACCACACCTGGGCCTGGACACATATGCCACTGATCCGAATCCTGACCCTGACCCACAGACTCAGATTCCTGATTTGAATTCAAACCTGCCTTGCTGCCAAGGGCTTGTGATGCTACGCTTGTCTCGCAGGTGCTGAACTGTGGCTGACCCTGACCACTGTCTTCAGACTGATCCAGACCTTGCACTGCTGACCTGTCTTATTACCGTGGATTTGTCTGGTGATCTGGACTACTAGGTGGATCTAGCTGGACTTGATCTGTTCCACCCCGTTCAGGTAATGTGGGACCATCCCACTGCCAGTGAGGTTACTACCTTTACCTGCCTTCCTGGCTACCAGCTTGGCCTGACAGAGCAGCCAACCCTTGCTATTCCTGACAACAGCACAGTACAGCACACTGGTGTCTGACCATCAGTGGTAACTGAGTGCTGGGGATGCAACATGCTCTATTACCACAAATGCAAAGTCTTACACTGGTTTGCAATGACAACTTTACTTGTGACTAGCTAATCCTGAAACTTTTTTTTTGCTAGTTTGGGGAATTTTTTGGACAACTGTTTCACAGTTCTTCTCACTAAGAACAACATTTAGCCATCTGACATCAGTTAAAGGGAGTAAATCATTACAGAAAAACAGCTTTCCAAAGAAATGTTGAGGACAGCAATCAGGAAAGGTTTTTTGAGTGGGGAGGAGGGAGAGAAGAAGAAAAAAAAGGAAAAGAAGGCAACTATCATGACATATCACCTTCTGTTAGGACTGCAGCTACAAAAGATGGCATAAAAAAACCAGCTGCAGCTCCAAATTGGCCTAGCCCAGTATTTAAGTAGCTAAAATTACTGCCACAATGGAACAACAGCAGTGCTCAAATCCAGCTCTGGAGGGAGGCCATGATTCTCTACCTGCAAACTTCACTGCAGTGATGGAAGAAGAATGTTCATCCAGGGTCTGCTGCAGGCTATAGTCCTTCCCAGCATCCAAGACATGAATCAGTCTATCCCGACTGGCTGAGGCCAAGAGCTTTAAACCTGTCATAAAGTTAAAAAGAGTGCATGACCATTTTCAAAAGAGCTTCTCAAGTCATCTTAGGGACAAAGCATTATAATGTAGCAAACTGCATGGAAGGACACAAAGGAACACCCCCGGATTTCACACTACAATAATAAACAGAACAAGTTTCAATCTCACCTTACCATAGTCCAAGGAAAAGTATGAGAAAGAAGCCTTTTTGTAAAGTCTGGCTCTACTGGCCCAACTCTGCAAGCCTGCTCCAAAATCCAGGAGTAGCTCACTACTGAAAATTCTAAAATACCATGGCTGGACATTCTGACTTGCTCAATACTATATTCATACACAAAAAGGAAGAAGCTCTATTGCATTTACCTGTGTCGGGTTTGGAGTATTCCAGACACAGGATCTCGGAGTCATGGGCTTCCACTTTCAGCATTTCTTTCAGAGACTGCAACTCATATATCCTAAGACACAACATGACTCATTTCAGTATGTTTAATAAAATTAGCAAGACAGCAAGACCTGGTTTTGATTCTCATGCCTGGCCAGTTTGCAATCTGCATAAGAAGCTTTATGGGATTACCTGAGAGTGCCTATCCTGTCTCCTGAGGCCAGGTGCTCCCCACTGGGACTCACACAGACAGTGCGTATCCCCACCTTCGTATCCATCACTTGTGCATCAGCTTTCTCCGCACTTCCTGCTGAGTTGTAATCAGTGTCCAGAAGTACCTGAGTGTTGTCATCTACATAGATAATTTTCATCAAGTCCTGGGGACACAACACACCCAGAAATATTTAATAGTTACAAAATATGAAAGCAAAGCATCTGCCTTAGAAACTGGGCTCCCGGCCAACCTATGCACTTCATTGGCAATAATGCTGTAATTGCTAGGAACAAGCACTAAGCCTCTTCATACTGTGGGATGAAAGTTTCAAAACTGTGTCTCACGATGACCCTTTGTAAGATTACCCTTCAAGCTAGAAATTAGCAGCATCTCCTGCACTACAGACAAACTCTGGGATTAGTGATTACAGCATATTAGGGCACACAGCATATGGCCCTCATGTTTATGAAAACAGCAACAGACCCCAGCTCTATTTCAGACAAACTGCCTTTCTACCCAATACTCCATGTTTCTTTGGGTTCATACATTTAATCAGACTTGTGCTCAGTTTACAGAGAAGCTTGTGTTGACTTAGAGATCCAAAGAAGTTTGGGCCTTAACCTGGGTATACCTGTGCATGAGGAAGACCAACCCCAAGGGCAAAGAGGTGATCAAAACCTAGGATCTTACATTGCTGAGGATGTTGCGGTGCAGGGCTGTGCCGTGGATGTTGGAGCTTTCAGTGTTCCACAGACGAATGGTGTTGTCAGAGGAGCAGGTGATGAAAGAGCCAGGAGGGAGGCATGGCTGGTTGTTGTCCTTCACCTCTGGATACATCTAAGGGCAAGTAAAATCAAACCCTTAATGAGATTGCCTGGCACCTGGCATCCTAGACAGGAGTAGCAAGTTTCAAAACAAAATGAGACAAAAGGGCTGTCCTCTCTGTTTTGTAAAGGTGAAAGCCAGACAGTTCTAATGAAAACCTGTTTGCAGACCAGAGCTTCACATTCACTTCAAACAAACATTCACTGAGCCTCCCTGAACATAGAAAATTTCCTTAAGAACTTAGCAACAAGCCAGCATCCTTTGTTTCTAATAGTTCAAAGTTAGTTCAAAAGAGTGCCTCAAAGACCATACAAAAATGACCATGCAACAACCACCTCACAACTTGCATCCACTACCGTTGATTTATAATTCAGAAGGAAATGGTGAGGTGCAATTAATAAATAATAATAGAGTCCTCAATCACTTCCCTCTTTCCTGACCACTGTTGAACATATTTCAACATATTAACAACTACATTGTTTCCTATACCTCCTTTCCTTCCCTCTGTTCCTCTGAGGGAAAGGCAACTAAACAGACTGGAAGATGACAGCCACTTGAGAGGCTACTTCCACATGTTCTGGTAAATAGGTGAAGAAGGAGCAGACTTCAGATCTTAGCACCTGTTTCATTCTTTTGACTTTGGAGCACTTGCTCATCATAGACCTCAAATAATTTTTTTTGAGGTCAGCAATGACCTCTTGTGCATTTTCTAAAAGGAACCCTTGTATTCAGCTTTGTCCAGTTCTGCTCCCTCTCCCACCTCTCACATTTTAACGGTGAAATAATTTTTTCCCAGTAGCACACTGCCTCTCATGCTTTTGGTCAGCCATTGCAATGCAGCAAAAGAACTGTTCCTGGCTCCAACTCAGGCCACGTAGGAACCACACTAACCACAGGAGAAAATTTGAGTCAATTCTTTCTCTCTGCAATAAGTGGTTGCATTCAAATTTGGCAGTTCCTCAGATGACTTCCTCAGCTGCAACTCACAATCTGACACTTTTGCTTGTAGACAACATACCTCAATGTTCCACACACAGGAGGAGTGGTACAAAGCAGAGTACACCTTGCCCACTTTCTTCGGGTCTTTGACATCCCACACATAGAGGCTGTGGTCGTTGTATACACAGGAAAGCCACTGGTTGGTGGGGTCAAATGTCAAGGCGATCGTGTCTGGATACTTCGCATCAGCTATACCAGAGAAAAGACGGCTGCATGAAGAGAGAAAAACAGCCTGGTTAACTTGTGCTCTCTAGGAGTCAGGGCAAGGAGGTGAAGCATGAGAGCTCAGATTATCCACAGGATGCTGGTGAAGTGAACAATACACTGTGGCATACATAGGTAGAGAGAGTAGTTGGCTGGGAAGACCTGTCTCTTGAACAACCAGAGTCCCAAAAGAAGCCTCAAAGTCCCATGGCAAAAGTTATACTCCTTGCCATATAACTCAGAGTCCCACCACAAACAGGTGACTGACTTCTGAAGAAGAAGGACCAAACAGGATGTTTGATCATCACTTACCACTGCATAACCAGGTGGCAAAATTAAAATCCAAGTCAAATAATCTCAAAACAAAGGGGAGGATCATCTTCTGGTGGGTACTATATTTTGTTTACTCATAGCAAGAATTGCTCTCACCAAGAAGAATAAGTACTGCACTCAAAAGGAGCACATCAGCACAAGGAACAATGAAATGGTTCATTTCAGTGGCCACTTGTCTGACCTGCCTTCCTTCCACCCCTGTCCCACACACAGACCAGCATGGTGCTGCTTGCAGCAACTTGTGAGATGGGCAACTGCATATGGGTACTGTCTTTACTAGATAAGCAAGCCGTCTGTTGCTAACTTAAAAAGGAATTCTGCATAATAAGTAAACATGTCTTTGTCCCAGTGTGGCCCAAGATCACACCATGTGAACCCTGCATCTCCTCTACAGGGGTGCTCTGTTCAGTTCTGCTGCCATGCATGTAAAGGAACTGCTCTGTTGACCTCAGGTGAACTCAGCCATCCCACAGTGCTGCTAATGATATTGAACAAGGTAATTATAGCCAGAGTGCCAGGGTGTTGAGAGCAGGTAATTTAAAAGGACTGGTGGAGCCAAAGTGCACATAGCTCATGAGACAACTGGAACCCTGCTTCTTCACTTGGAAAGGTTTGAGAGTTGGAAGAGTACAGCCCAGATTCTACTGAAAAATCAGGTCATTGATACAGTTGTGGGCAGTTGAAGGCAGGCAACCAGCATCCCACAGAGAAGCTCCGGCATGCATGGGAATAAAAGGAGTCCTGTGTTTTCGAGCTTCTTTAGAAGTAATAAATTAATTTTTAAATGTTGTTAAGATTGTAATCAGTGCTACGAATACATATTTAACATTTATGAATATTTCTGCTTGACTGATGCATGAGAGTAGCAGAGAGTATTTTTAAAGGGTCCATGTATACAATTGCTTGACTTTAGCACTATTAGAAACTGTTTACATTTTAAATTGAGAGAGTTCTTTTTTCAACTCCTTTACTGGAACATCATTATCTCCCACTTAATTTTCTGGAGGAAGATTGTACAGGGTGCTGTTTGACTCTTTACCTAAAGCTCCAAAGAAAAGTTGAGAGTACATATGTGTAGACATGGAGACTACAGATATCCAGTGGAATAATGGCTGGTGAATTCATGCCATTTTTAGATTTCTTTCCCCACTAGTGACAGAAATTAAAGAAAGTGACTGGGAAAGCCTCCAACCAGGATTGGCAAACAGCAACACATGAAGGGTTTTCTCTATCATAAGCCTCTGCAAGCTGGCAGACAGAACCGTATAGAAATCATATTACCCACCTCAGAAGGTAAGAAATAGAAAACCAAGACAGAATATACTGGAACAAGGTAGGAAAACAATAAAACAGAATGCACAAGGTTGCAGGAGAAGAAAGACTACAGACAATAGTAGATTTAGGTCTTTAGGCTGCAAGGGAGCCTTTGAAAAAGTGCCCCATGAGAGCCTGGGCATCTCTTAACAAGATCATTATATTGCTATGAAGGAGAGTCTTCATCCCTTATCAGTGATAAGCAAAGGATGTCCCATGGTACAGGAGCAACTGAAGTGTGCCACAGCATCCTGTGCCCTCTGCCTGCTTGCTTACAGCAACCACTGTCAAAAGGCCACCAAATCCAAGCAATTCCAGGGACATGAGAAGCAAGATACTCTGTATAGTCCAGCAACCAGCTTTGGGCTGTAGCCCAGTCACACATGGCAAGGCTGCAACAGCTCAGAGAGATCTCCAACAGGCTGCCAATTTTAATCCATAAAAAGAGCACACTCCAGATGGCAAAGGTCTGGGGAACAGTTCTAACTCCTACAAGCCTCCCTTGCTCCATTCCACCTTTCTCCACCATACCTGGCCTCAGTCACACTCGCGATGTCTGTTCCCAGAAAGTGTGGCTTCGGCAGTGTGGTGACAAAGTGAAGGTTCAGAGGGTTAAAAATCCGCACGGTGCCATCAGCGCAGCCACAGAAGATGTAGTCATGATTCACAGAGATGCAGTTTGCCACAGTGGTCTGAGGAGGACACAGCACACAAGAATGAGCAACGTGCTCACATGTCAAAGGTCACCAGATACACGATAGGGTGAACAGCAAATTGACAGACAAAGGAGTCATGGTCAGAAAAGTTGTAGTGAAGTCGAGCCCTGGGAGTAAGGAAAAGCCTAAAAATCCATTTTTCCTTTCTGAAGAACTTCTCAGCGAAGGTCCATTGCAGATTCCAAGCGATTAAAAAAAAAAGCCTAGTTCCTCTGCCACCCACTGTGACAGGAGGTCAGCAGAGCTACACAGTTGGTCCAGCTAAGTCCTACTCTGAACACTGCTTTTCTTCCTGTGACATTCAACACCACTGGCAGGCAAGCAGCACCTCACCTGTACTAGCACACCAACACATTACCTGTCACAAGGGGATAAGAAAAGAAAAAAATGGATTTTCTTCCCCTCCCTTTAGGATTTGTACAAATGGCAGAATGTGGTACAAAATGGAGTGTGGTGAAAAGGGAATGAGTTCAATGCAAAAAGTTTTTTCAACTTACTGTGAAGCTGTCTGTATTCTGAGCGAGAGTGAAAGGCAGATTTTAGAGAGGAAAGGAAAGAAAAGAAGAGGCATTTCATTTGAGTGAAAGTGTGGAATTTTCCCTTGATTTTAATACACTGGATCCTTTCAGGTGGGCATGTTACATTCAGTTGAAAGGAAAATAAGCACGATCAAATTCTTAACTATGGGCCAACCTGGTGGTTTAGAATAGCCAAACCAACTAGTACATTCAGAACCTGCATTTGAGATGCACAAGCCAAGTAAGACACTGCAGAGTGTTCTGATAGAAATCAGAATCCTCCTAAAACTACTTCTCCAGGCCCAGCCAGGAGGGACCATGCAGGGGTTGCCAAAGCCAAATAAGGACACTGCTTTGCCAGAAGAGCAGTAGCTGTAATGCTGAAGTCTGCAAATGAAAGAGCCTCAATGATTAATAAAATCCCTTTGCCAAGAAGCAATACTATTTTTGCCTGGCCTTCCAGAGTAAATCACAGAGTAGCAGAGGCCCAATTACTTTCACTGCTGGTTGTCAGCTTGCGGTCCGAGTGCCCTTATTATTTGTTGTTCCTGCTCTGCTTCAGCAGGCACAAACACTGCAGAATAGGAGGATGTAAAACTCACCCTCAGCTCCACCCACTTGTCTAGCAGCCTTTTTTCATTGAATTCACAGAGCAAGCCTGAGGATGTGATACAGAAGGTGCTTTCAGCTTTTTTGCCCCTTCCACAAGCCACGTCCGCAAAGAAGTTGTTCCTCAGTTCTCCAAGCAATCCTGAGCGACCTAGCAAGGGGACTGTGGCATTGACCTACCAATAGAAAACAGTTTGTTAGAAATAGAGCAAGGCACTTCAGGTAGACAGTAATTTTTTAGAACATCAAGCCTTGAGTGCTGAAGTAACTCAAAAAAGAACTGCCAACAGCCTACAAAGAGAGGTTTTACTTGCTGTTCATGTTTACAGCTGTTCATGAGCACACAAAGATCATCATAGGAGGATTCTGTCCCCCAGAGAAAAACAGAACAGTTAAAAGTTTAAACACTTTAGTTGACACTTCAAAATGACACTCACAACCTTTTGAGACGCTCACATCAATTGTCATACAGCTCTCCCCACCTCTGTGTTCCAAGGAGTTAAAATGATTGCAGCTCTTCTCTAATTTATTTGTCCTTCAGTATATGTGACTACAAAAGAACAAGTATGCTGCTATGCAACTCCAGGAGCAATGCCCCTACCTTAGTGCAGGATAAGATAAGCTTTTAGTGCTATCAGCCCATGGAGAGACTGAGACTTGAGAGCCAGGGTGGAGGGCTATTCTTGAATCCTAGCAAAATCAAAGAGTTCCCACTTCCCACAGCTCACTGGGGAAAATCTATCCCGCTCTAAGATGGAAATGCCTGTTCACAGCTCAGCCTTGATGCACTTCCTCTCACCTTGGAGGTCTTGCTGTCATCCAGGTACCAGAACTTGATATGTCGATTTCCAGCAGTGACAAAGTAACTGCAGTCCTCTGAGAATGACACAGCTGTCACTTTACTTGAGACTTTGTTGGCTGCCACTACGATGTTTTTCTGGAAATATAATTGTTTAGATTGATTAATTTCTTTACTCAGAAACAAAGGAAACTAATTTCAATTACAGGCACATATGCAGTACAAGCATTGCAGCAGGGAAAAGATGAGGCCCAAACTATTCCCCAATCACCTCTGAATATGACCTCCCCAGCATTAGCTGGAAACATTGATTTGGCAGACAGTACAATTCACTTTACATTCGATTCCACTTCCACGGGATCCAGAACAAATCAGCAGGCACTAGTGCCTGCAGGAACTTGCTGTCTGAGCCATAACAAACATGCTGGTTTCACAATCACCAGGAGCCAAGAGCAAAGCCATTTCCTTTCCTAAACAGCAAATACATATGTAGGCCAGCACAAGAAGGAGCTCTGCCAGCCCCCAGGCAGCAATGAGGGCAAGGCACTCAAGATGGGGAACAGGTATTTTTTCACAGGGAAAACAGTACTTCCATAAATTATGGTTCTTCCATAAATTCTCTCTTTTCTTTAAAGACATGATGATTTATCAAAAGACCCAAAATACAAAAAGATTGGAAGGGAAAAAGCAAAATCTGCTATACCTCAAATGTGCGCTTTAAAATGTCAAAGAGTTTGGAAAAGGAGTAAGAACACACAGGGACAGAAAACAGGATGCAAAATGGTCAGAGAGCAGAAGCTCCCTGTTCACAATATCATCGCTCAGTTTTCTTCCCACTGCCTTTCCCCAGGGAATGGTAGAAGTGAGAAGAAAAAAATTTTCCCCTCTGTCTGTGGTGGGTTTGCAACCATGCAGCACATGGCTGACAACAGTGCATCCCTTTTCATCCTTGCTCTGTTTCCTTTACCTTTCCTTTTAGGGACTCAGTTGCTCCCAGTCTTCCCAACACAATGCCCTCAGTATAAAAATCACTTCACTCCAAGGGCCCCACCAGACTGCGTGCTGACAGAACTGAAGAAACCAGCAACAGAGAAATCTAGGCTTCTGCACTGTCACCATGGAGGATCCTCCAACCCAGACCGGAGGAAAAGCAAGTGGGACAGTGATTATCATAACTTCTTTCAAGACAGTGCACAGAGAAAGGCTTAGGACCCTTGCAGACCTTAACATCTGGATCATTGCTGTGCTCTTTCTTTAGTGAAGCAAAGAAACCCTACAGACAACAGGGGTTCTCTTTTCCACCACAGTCAAAAGACTAAGTCTCCCAGCCAGGAAAAACAGGGAAATCAAAGCAGCAACACAGAGGATAAAAGAAGGGTTGTGGTTAAAAGTGCTGGAAAATGCTTCAGGAGATCTGTATTCACATCTTAGTCTCTCAGTCTTCATTGACTTTGGTCAGGTAAAGTATCTCTAGTTGTGGTGTCCGGCCTGCAAAATAAAGGCTAGCTGGAACTCTTGACAGTCACAGTCTGGAGTGTATGCTTAAAGTGTGTGTTCTTCATCACAGAAGAGTGAGACAGTCCTCATCTCACAAGTTCTCATGCACATAATTATACAGTGAACAGAAAAACCTGCATAAGGCAAAACAAAGCTACTTGCAGAGTCCCACACATGGCACACATTGTGATCCTCTCCAAGTCACTACTTTCATTTATATAAGTGTAAAGAACCAAAAGGCTGAGCACTCACATCTTAACACTGACATATGCACTTAGGTTTTAACACTACACACAGTTCAGCTACACAAAAAAAATAGGAAGGTCAAATTTCAGCTCATGCAGAAGACAACAGTGAGATTTTAAATTACAGCACAGGAGATGTGATGAAAAGAGTAACATACTAAATGAGCATGGACTTACAAGCTGCAAGAGAAGAGAAGGCTCTGGGGAGACCTTATAGCAGCCTTCCACTACCTAATGGGGGTCTATAGGAAACATGGGGAGGGACCCTTTATCAGGGAGTGTAGTGATAGGACAACGGGTAGTGGTTTTAAACTGAAAGAGGGTAGATTTAGATTAGATGTTGCGAAGAAATTCTTTATTGTGAGGGTGATGAGGCACTGGAATGAAATTCTTTACTGTGAGTGTTGTGAGGCACTGGAACAAGCTGAGAAGTTGTAGATGCCGCATCCCTGAATATTTTCAAGGCCAGGTTGAACGAGGCTTTGATGGGATTTCCACCTGCTCTAGTGGAAGCTGTCCCTGCCCATGGCAGAGGAGCTGGAATGATATGATCTTCAAGGTTCCTTCCAACACAAACCATTCTATGATTCAATAATCCTGTGAGATTTAACAAATCCACTTATGTGTTTTTTTAAATCATCTCTTTTAGCACTTGAAGAGGTAACAGGACGTGAATAAGTGCCTAGCATTTATTAATACAGAAGAATCCAAGCCTACTGTCAACAAATGCTTGTTTTCTTATCTACAAAAAACAAATGCTTAAATGTTTACTAGAGGACACAGGCTTTCATCGGCTTTCACCCATTATGAATTCCCTATGTTCTTCTTCTCATCCATCAAGGATGGGATCAGAGTGGGACAACAAACTATCATAACAAAAACAAAACAAGCCAAGAGCATCCACCACACTACAAGAGAAATCCCTGGCTGATGAGAGTTTTCTTCCTCAACCTCATAAATTAGTTTTTAATAAGCTTCTAAAAAAGCACAACGGTTTGGCAAGGTTTCAAAATCCAGGCTTTTCTGGCTGGACAGCAAAATGTCAAACGTCTCCAAGTATAAAGAATATCCCTTCATGGAAGTGACTTAGAACTTCCCTGAGGAACCATAGCTTTCTCTCATGTGTAAATTGGCCTTTGTCTGTGAACATCAAAAACCAAACAATAACTACAGAATTAAAAAAAAGGAGAAAGCAAGATGAAATTGAACTAGTTTACAGTCAAACTGGAAACTCTTTTCAATTAGCAACACCTTGTGGTCCACCCAACCTCCTAGATAACTTACCTTCCATGACCACACATTGACAATCATATCATGCTGGTACCCCACTGAAACAATGTACTTGGAGCTGGGGGAGAAAGCCACACAGGCCACACCGTACTTGTGCTCCTGGAGCTCTGCCACCTGGGTTCGCTCAGCCACATCCCATACCCGAACTGCTGGCATGTGTCCACTCTGAAAGGGACAAGAACAGACACAGAAAAAGAAATGTAACCCCTGAAGTCAGTTCTGACAGATTCGAGCATATGGAGGATGTTGGAAAAAGATGTCTAGATGGTGCACTTACAAAAGACTTAGAGATTCCTTTGATTCTTTAAAGCCCAGGTTGAGACTGACAACCTAAGGAGTATGTGCATTTCAACAGTTGTCCAAAAGTGTTAATACAATCTCCCCTGCTTTAATCCTTTTCTTATGCTACTCACAAAACAGCCACAGATTAGAACAATACTTTTGATGCAAATCTCTGATCTTCGTAATGGGAACTCACAGTCTGCTTATGAAAAGGATTATAACAGATTGTTTTCCTCAGTGAATCAAAAGGCCCTCACATCCTCTGCTCCTAACAAAATGTGGATATCTGAGATATCAAGCCAGGTCCTGCCATACAAAAACATGAAATGACTATTGCGATAACTATCACACACCATTTGCAGGACGCCTCTGGGAGACTAACAGCATCATTTCTGTCACAAAGTCACACATGGATGCATTCTGCCTGAAAGAGTATGGGCCGCGTAATGTCAGAAAGGAAGACATTGATGGAACAGAGCCTCTGTTTGTATGCTTGCTCTCCAGAGAAACAGAAATGCCAATTCAGCATCTTCTGCCAGATAATTCTATTACTTTAACTGTTTGCTATTAAACCAAACTAAAACAAAGCACACAAGATAAGCTGAAATGCTGGCCAAAAAAAACGCACTTGATGCGCAACTCCTACTCAAATAACTGCTCATGATTTCACACTGAAGTCTGTCAAAACAGTAGCTTGCAAGATAACATAACCATGGCAACGTGGCAGAATGGTACCTTTTGGATCAGTTTTAAGTAAGTCATTTGATTGTGTGGGAGAGGCAAGTCTCATCACAAGTAAAAGTCAAAGCTTTAAAAGCTTAAAACTGTGCATATTTTAACTGCCTTGTTCAAAAGCTTTGCCAAGCAACTGCTTGTGACCTGGAAAAATACCATGGTCAGATTTTACTGCAGCTGGTACGGTTCTCCCTCCTGCAAGGCAGAGCTCAGGTCTCCAGGTGGCTGGAAAGATGTTACAATGAGCTGAATCAGCTGCTCTTCAAAGCAATTGCTGTACTTAAACACATACATACACATAAATATTTCCCAGCATCTTAGCATACAGTCCAAGACCTTAATTAACTGAATTTGCATTTCATCTTTTAAGAAATGCTCACCAAAAATGAGCTTTGTGTGACTCCAATGGACAAGGATTCTATGCCTCCACGGAGAGAACTAAAAAATAACAGTTAAAAAAAGAGGAAAACAAATCTGGTTTCTTATGAATTTGAAATATATAAAAGACATTTAATATATTTGGCGGTCAAGGACTAACCTCCATATTCTCCTCCCTGAAAAGCCAGCCATGCAGAAAACTAAGGTGTTATTAGGCAGAATTAGCATGAGGTAGCTAAAAGAGTGTTTGACAAAGTGAACTCAGAGATCGTTTCCCTATGGGACAGAGGTTGAACTAAGGCACAACTGCTGACACCAGCAGGGGACACTGCTACACTAAGCAATAATTCAAATGTCAGAAACGTGGGACGATACTGAAAAAAGAAATGCTTTTACAACAAGGCCAGAGGAGACACGTTTTGCAAGAAGGGGTGGGGGGGAAGTCCCCACAAAACATTCAAGTATAACTGGAATGGCTTTTTTTTAATCTGAATTTGTCATTTACCCCAATGAAGTTTAAAATTGAAAAGTTTGAGTTGTTAGTAAGAAGAGCACCCACTTCATTTTTTACCACTATTCCTACCCCACACGAAAGGAACTGAGTACCAGAAATAAAAACAAAAAAAAGGGAAAATAAAAGAAGGCACCAGAACCATTAGAACTGAACACCATGAAGAAAATATGTATATCATATATATTAGAACTTCAATATAAAGGGAGTTTATTACATTCAGATTTCTAGAGAGTAAGGAGGCATTAAAACATATTACAGCTATAAAACCTCATGTTTTCACTAAAAAGTTAATAACAACGGTCTCTGATCTAATGATGGAAAATTTGTGCTTACTTTTTCTGTGTTATGGTAGCCTCCATCCAAAAACCCCCACGTTGTTTCTACCCTTGGTCTGATCCATGCAGGATTCAAGCCCAGCTTTGGAGCCCCGCAGAGACATGACAGCTGCAATTACGGTGACCGCACTAGGGACCTCTGGAGCAAAGAGTCTCTGTTTTGACAGCTCCAACACAGGACTGTGACATACTTCTCTTCCCTGTGGCTGAGGCTCAGAAGGGAACCTGTTTCACACATGCTCACTCCCCATGTGTTACACAGAGACTAGTGGTAAACTGCCATTAATCACACAAAAGAGCGATCTGAGCCCAACCATATGGAGGTAAGCATTTCTGTGGATTTTTAACATCCAGCAATTCCAACCTCATGACACAGCCCATGTCTTGAACTTCTAATGCAGAACAGACACACAGTGCACTCATCCTTATTCTCCCCCTTGGGCACATTTGGAAAGAGGAAGCAGTTTTTGCCCCCCAGCCAAACATACAATGCCAAACCACAGACACCAGTATCTTCTGTCACTATTCCTAAGCTCCACTCCACACACACTTTTCATTTTTTCCACAAAGTTGTTACTGGCTTCAGTTACTTCCTGAAATCCTGAAGGGACAATGCTAAACAGACCAAGATTCAGGACCATCCAAGTACTCTCCACTGATGTTAGAGTAGAGCCATGCTGTGTATCCTTCCAGTTATTTTCACTCTACCTTCAGCCCACAGATGCCACCCCAGAAGATCCATCCCCCAGGCTGATGAGAGACTGAAATCTGCCCAATGCCATCCGTGACCCAGCAGGTCCACTGAACATTGATGCAACATTGAAACTGATTTGTCTGTGTCAAAGCAGTTCACTGGCCTGTTTCTTCTAAGCCCCTCTGCCCTGCTTCAAAGTGCAGTGGAAAAGGTGTGCCCTTTCTCCTCTCACACTTACCTCTCCTGTAACCAAATATTTGCCATCTGGAGAGAAAGCAAGTGCTGTAATTGTTTTCCTAAAACAGAGAAAATGACACTGAGAAACATTTCCAACATGTGATCTCATTTCAATACATCATGACTAGGGAGTAGGTTGGGATGAATTGAAAAGAGCCTAAAATCACCCATAGTAGCCTGACATAATGATTTTTGCTTTGCCAGGAGGATTCCCTGCTGCCCAAGTCTCAAGCAGCAGCCTACAGCACTGGAAAAGCTCCAAAACTTGAGGTTCATTGTTGTGCCTTTATTCCAGATGCAGGACCATGTCCCAGTGCTGGCTTCAATAATGAGGTCATTGTTTTAGGTGGAGAAAAAAAAAGTTAGATATCATGGAGCTCTAGTAAGATGTCCTCCCTGTCATGCCCATTAGCACTTCCTCATGGGATCACAGTGTTTATGAGGAAGTACCTTGTCAGCAACAGCACCTCACACTAGAAGGAGCTGAAGTCAAAAGAGCAGGCAGCCTGTCCCCAAGGCAACTCTTACTGAGGGGATTTAGTCTGAAGCAACAGCAGCTCCTGCACTGCATTCAAACCATAAAAGCCTTGAATTCACCTCCCACAGAAATCAAGTCCAGCTTAAAGCTTCACTCACCTGGAACTGTTTAGAATATGGTGTTGCTTATTTTTCCTAGGGTTGAACAGCACAACAACACACCTAGATGGAGGAAACAGAAAAACAGAAAGAGATGTTGTGACCATGTGCATAAAGATAACCAAAGAGCCATCCTTGCTGGAAAAGCAGCAGCAAAAGCAGCCTCAAAAAGCTGTTTCATCCCCTAATCTCACAGACTGAGCTGGGGTTAACTCGAAAACATGAAGGAAAAGAACATTCCAGAGGAGAATTAAAGTCTCTCCCATGCTGAGGAGTACCATGTGCTAGTACCATGATTACCTTTCCAGCACCTGGGAGCCCTGAGTCTCTGATTGTTCGAGCTGAACAGAAAGGTTGACCATGAAAGTTTGTGCAACAGCCCTAATAGATTATGCCCCCTTCCATAAAAGTGACCCCTTATGTACTGGGTATCAAAACAGCGTGACTAGAACAGAGTAAGGAGGTAAGGAAGAAAGAGGGAATCTTTCAGAAAAGCTCTCAGGGGATAAAGAAGTGGAGGTAGAGAGGTTAAATTTTTGAGTATAGCAGAAGTAGTGACTGGCCCATTGAGAAATGAGACGTGATGCCAAAAAACTACTGACCCAAGGACCATATCTGCATAAGCAACTTGCTTAGGGGCCTTGCAGAAATTTCTCAGCAAGATGAATTGCAAAAGCAGTAGTGAACTCCTGGTAAACAATATAATCACCTCCACTGGGAGCAAAAACAGTTGCTGACTAGGAGGGGCGGGAAGAAGAGGCTCTTCTTTCCACTAATATTGCCCTTAGCACATTGTCTTAGTGCCTCAACCCACCACAACCAGCCTACAGCAGTCATAGGTACTGAAGCCTTCCCCACTCTCCACAAACACACTACACATCATTTTAAATCTACATGTAACAGCATTTGTCTTGTAGCAGAGAGCAGAAGCAACCAGTAACTAAAAACACTGTTAAGTGAATAAAAGAAGGTAAAATAATTGCTCTGATGACCTTGTGCCCCATTTCTCACTTCACCTCTAAAACAGAAACTGTTTTTCGCCTGCCTCTCTGCTAGAACATGCTGCCAGAGCTTGGAGAGTCCCAGCTCCTCCTTTGCTGTGGTGCCAGGGGAGCACTGCAGGATGTCCCTGCTCCACTGCCAGCAGCCTTTGCCATGGTGGGGACTTCACTCACGTCACCATCGCACTGGGGCTTGCCTGCAAGGCATGCCAGGCTACAGACATCAGTCATGGGGAAAAACGGGCAGGACAGACAAGTAGAGGACCCGGCCTGAAGCAGCCACACAGAAAGGCAAAAAGCTGAGGCGTCACAGAAATCTATTGCAGAATCTCACCTACAGACATCACCAACATTTCAAGACAGGCAGCGCACAGGACAAAGCACACATTGGCATCACACTGCCCATGAAAAGAGCTGCATCCTTCCAGGCCCCCCCGCCACATCCCCAGCAGCAGGCAGGGCTGGGAGTGCTGCAGGCATGGCTCAGGATTGACAGGGACCTGCAACGTCTCCAGCTTCTCCTCACCTAGCCCAGGCAGATGACCTTTCCTTGGGTCTGAACAGGCTATACTGCCAGAAGCAGCATAAATTTTAAAATGGAAGAGAGCAGAAAGGAGGACACACCAATACCCTGAGCTCAGAGTCCCTGGCTGAAGCTGCCACACTCTGTTAACATTGCTAGCTCAAAGCAGATATCCAACCATTCAGGAGACACGCCCTCCTCCCCCTTTAGACTACTCTGCTCCTCATGTCATTCCCCCTAGTCTTCTCCACTCATGCCCTGAAGGCCAAGGCACTAAAAGCACAAAACTTTCCTGATAGTTAAAAGGCAGACAGCCACAATTGGAGATGCCATGTTGTGGAAGAGCAGAGAAAGCATAAATAAGAGGTTTGTTCAGACCGGGATTGATCTTTTCGTACTTTTTACCCTGGGGAACCAAACCGGAGTGTTTCAAGTCAAAGCTATGCTATATATTTCTGAGGGATTAGTTTGAAGAAGCAGGTGGTTTGTGATCCATTAACAAGTCAGGAAAGGTTAAGCCTCTCAAATCACAAGATATGAAACAGGAAGTTAGCAGATGTGAAAATCTATCTAATCCTGAGCCTCCAGCTAATCAGAAAAGCAAAGCAAAACCCCATTATGTGGCATTCGATGGGGTTAATGGACCAAAATCCTGCTGAGTTACAACAGGGATGAATTGTGCTTAAAATAAGCTTCAAAAAACCGGAAAGAATAAAGGAAAGACACAATCTTGACAAAGACTTTCCTACGCAGCTCTTAAATTTAAGTTTCTGTTTTACTGTAAGGAACTTTGTAGAAAAACAGAACTTCAGAGAAGTGAGCAGTTTTAAAAAACACAGGAAAGATATAAAATACAAACCATGGTCTTCAAACCAGGCAAGCAAACAAAACGCTTCCTAGAATAGCATAGTGAACCACAAAGCTTTGCCATTATTAACTTATAGGACAGAACCTTTGGCCACCTAAAATCATGAATTTTAGCTCAACTGCACCCCAGAGCAGGCTGTCTGCCAGCAGGCTTCCTCCCCACTTCCAGCCATTGGCCAAGTCCAGAGGCCACAGGGAATATAAGATCCATCCAGCTCACACAAAAAGGCAGATCAACAAACCACTCCAAGAGCCACACAGCTCCTAGTGCCAGAGCAACCATCACAAACATGGATATTTTAATTTTGTCTTAAGACAACCCCATGCTTGATTCACTGAGTTTGACCCATAATTAACAAGCTCTATCTGGAGGGGTGGGAGTGGATAAATCACAGTATCTCCTTACTGGTCAGCAATCATTGATTTAGGCCATGAAGTAGTAATTTTAACTTGTAGGCTCAGGGAAACAAGATATGTTGATTTGTCAGCTAATAACTAATGTAACTTACTAATTGGTTATGACCTCCTCGCCAATAAAGTCATTTTGCTAGGATTAACTAGTCTTCTGAACTTGCTTTCTTAAATTAACTGCTACCCAACAGAAGCTACTGCAATGCTGTCCCATACTGATTTTCCAGCATCCCTCTCCTGTCTGCCATACACAAGGGCAATGAAGACTTCGGCCAACTCCAAGGATACCTTATTCAGCAAGATGTCAGACAATAAACCATCAGTCTTACAGTGGGGCACAGATACTGTTCTGTGAGTTGGGAGCATCCAAGTCTGAAAACTGGCTTCCTCTCAAAATGCTTGAAAAGGTTTCTAGTCCATTCCACCCTAGAGAGCACATTTCCTCAACAAGCAGAAACTAACTATTTCTAGTTTTTTAATCTCTTTTGAGTGTTCAGGAAATGGCTTTAAGTTGCATCAGAAAGGTTTAGATTGGATATTAGGAAAAATTTCTTCACAGAAGGGGTTGTCAAACATTGGAACAGTCTGCCCAGGGAAGTAGTTGAGTCACCATCCCCAGAGGTATTGAAAAGATGTGTAGATGTGGCACACAGGGACATGGGTTTAGTGGTGGACTTATCAGTATTAGGTCAATGGTTGGACTCAATGATCTCAAGTTCTTTTATAATGGAAGCAATTCCATGACACAGGGAAGCCTAAACTGCCTGCTCAGACACCCAGCTGAGCTCAATGTGGCCCTAGAGCAGCTCCTCCTCCCCAGACAGTCAAGAGTCATTCTCCAGCAGAGCCTGCAGCAGTTTCCCAAACAATAAAGTTCAGAACCCATCAATACTCTGTCTTAGCAAAGGAAATTGGTCTAGTAAAATACATGGAATGGAGACATTGAATGTTCAGGTTGCTGACCCACCCAGTTCACGCTGCCTCCAAGTCCAGTAAGGCTACAAAGCCCTCAGGAGACTCAAAGTATCTACTTCTTTCTGTTTATGCTGGCTTTAATCTTACAGCAGTTAAAATAATAAAAATAATTACCATGGAAAATTAATTGCATACAAGAGCATACACCCATCTATCCATCCTCCACCTTTGTCTGCTCCTTTGTAAGACTGCATTCAGTATTTTACAGCCAGAGGGATAGGAAAGAATGCAAGGGAAGAGAGCACTGATCTTTTTGTTCCCAGCTTCCAATTGTGGATGTAGACCAAGCAAAGTACTTCAAACTTGCACTTCTATCATGATCACATCACCTGTTCCACCCACTCCACCCCTTTCCCAAATTGAAGCTTTCAAAGCAAAATCAAGTTCTCAAGACACCTTTGTCTGGAGATGTTTTTAAATGCTAGTGCCAACATGCAAACTAAGACTAGCTCCAGAAACACCTCACATGGGACATACAGAGCTTGGCACACACCAGCTGTTGAGAAAGTCAAAACTGTTAGCACCCTTATTTCAGCACAAACCCTACCTCCCCTGCAGCTGCAGGCAGGGCTTGATGATCACAGCAACTTTTTAATCCACAAGTATATTCTGATTTCCAAGACATTTATAGAAACTATTCACTGCTGCATGAATTACTGCTTTACAAACCATCTATCAGCCAGCTGAGATCAAGTGTCCTGTTTGTTTTCATGCTGGTTCCTGCAGAGGTCATTGGCAATGGTACACATATTCAAAGGTATTATTTTTAGGTCTATGATGCCACTCCACAACCTTTAAGTACACCTTCCTGATGCAAGCAACTTTTATAAACAACTTGGCTGTGGAATCTTTCCTAGTATGCATCTTTCTTGTGGGACATTCAGGTAATACAAGGAAAGGACAGAATTAGCTCTCACAGCGATGTCAAAGGTTTTTGCAGACAACCTGAGCACTCTCCATCAGGGATCCCATTTGCATCAGCCAACAAGAAATGTTCCTTGCAGAGCTTTCCAAAACTCCAGGAACTCACAGCCCTATCTTATATGTTCACAACTGTATACACAGATAAAAAGTGAGGGTGAGAGGTGGGCAGGAAATTCACAGCAGTTTCCATTGGCTCCAGCAAAAGGAAAAAACCCCACAAAATATTAAAAAAAAGCAATTTCCCTAGACTAAATATAGTAGCAGGAATGGAGAGGAATCAGATGTCAGTATCGCATTTACACAAAGTATCTGACTCATTAAGTCAGCAGCAGTGGGTCACTCCATGCAGCTCCTGCCCCCTT